GGATCTTTTGCGGAACTGCACTTTTGAATCCATGCGACCAAAGGAGTTTCATCCCCTTTGCAAGTCTTGCAGATGGCTGACACAACCTGGTTTTTGAACCCACGGCACTCAGCTGCATTCTTTGGGATTGAGGCAATCTTGATAGAATCATACCCCTTTACACGCATCAATTTCTTTTCCATTTGGTATGGATCTTTCTCTTCGTCTTGACTTGAGGATGATGATCTATTGGATGCATTTGAACCAACAGGTGAACCCCCTGGACTACCACCTCCTTTCGGTGAAGATGATGATGACGAAGATCCCGAACTTGATGCTTTATGTGATGGAGATCTTGATACTGATTTGATCTGCTCTACCAAAGTTGACAACTGATTCATTATGGTATCATATTGCTGGGATGACTTTGAACTTTTCTCCCCTTTACTCTTTTTGGGTACCTGCTCACTAGAGTTATAACCCTTTTGAAACTTCCCCAACAATTGGATGGAGCCTGGGGGTTTCACATCCGGCGTGGAGGAGCTCGAAGGCTTCACTCCGGCTTTGGTGGAGCTCGAAGGCTTCACACCGGGCACGGCATCCTGAGCATGGGACTGTTCTGCATCCAACATGAAACCACGCGACCCTGGACCTGGCTGGCTATGTCGACCCACTGGAGTAAATATTTGGAAAAACCCCGTGCCATTACCGGCTTCTTCGGATGCTGGTCTCACAGTTTGTGGCTCGTTTTCATCTATCTCTTGGTTTTGGATTTGATGCAACAACGATTCATAAGCCCCTTCTTTTTCGGTAAGAAGCTTCAACAACCTTTCACTTTCCTTGGTCTGTGCAATCAATCGGTCTTGGAGTTGGCTATTGACATGGATCAATTCACCCACTTTCCCTTCGAGAATCGACACTTGTTTTTTGGGCTTCAGCTTTGAGGGACACATATTCCGCTTTAGCCTGTGCTTTTAGAGACTCAACCTCAAACCTGCATTGATTCCTTATGGATTCGAGTTCCAATGATGCCCTATTTAAAGCTTCGGTAGCTTCAACCCTTGTGGCATTCAATTCCCTTTGAGATTGTGCAACTTGGGTATGGGATTCACCAATGGCTCGATTTGCTTCGGTCTGAACTTGATTCAACACTTGGATGGCTTCAGCACGGGTTTCCCCTTGGACCCTTTCAACATACTGAATTGCCTCATGTCTCAACTCATCACGGGATTGGGCCAATGCACTATTAGCTTGTTCAACAACTTGGTTGGCTTGTGCAATGACAAACGGATCCATGGATACATGCAACTCATTTCGAACATTCGTTTGGGAAAATGTTTGACCCGATTGCCCATCAGCACCAACCCTCTGCCCCGGTGGCGTCTGGAAAGGATTTCTAGGCACTTGTGGTGACTGCTCATTTGATTGCAAAAACTGTGAAAGTGTTGCATCTGGACTCTGATTCGTATTTGTGGTAATTTGCATTTGATTGGGAACAGGTCTTCTTTCATCCGGTGTTGACATTGATTCGGAAATTGTTGGTTCTGATGGTGTCCCAATCCTCACTTGAAGAGCATGAGAAACAACACGATCTGACCTAGACCTTTGATCTGATTCCGAACTGTCATCTATCCTGGACTCGAACTCTGTCATCTTTTCCCCAATCAGGCACCGATTTGTGGACTACTGCCGCAATATGATCTCCACAGTCTTCCAAAAATTGTTCCACTTTGTCCGGAGCTCTAGCCCAAGGCTTCCTTCGGAGATGGAGATGGATTGTGTAGATAAAGCGACTGCACTCGTCAATGACAAGGACGTTGTCGTCCACAATTAACGCTGTACTCTTCCTTTGAGTCAACGCTTCGATTGCCCTCAACTTGCCAAGTGGCCCGTCCCGACTCCTAGTCACAACGACAAAACTCACCAAGTGGTTGAGTCCCTCCGTGCGATTGCACGCTTCGATAAGACCCGCTTCGTTCTTGGCACTGTTCTCGATATGTGACACGATCGCGATAACAAGGTGATTCCCGAATAGGTTTTTAAGCCGCTTCAGAAGTTCCAAGTTTTCCTTTGGGACACGTTGGACTGCCCAGGCTGACTGGGTTCGGCTCCTATCCAGAACCTGATGCCAATCGAGACACAGACAAAATTTTCGTCTGGCTGGCAACTCCGTGTACACACCTTGCACCCCAACAAATCCACGTGTTGAGAAATCCCGCAGCTTTCCTTGAGTATCCCACGTCAAGTATCTGCAGTAATCTGGCAAGAGGTACTGAGGAGCCAATGGTTGCCCCTTTGGCACTGGCACCGAAGACGATGATGATGCCGCACCTGATGAACCCTTTGGCCGCTGCTCCTGCAGCGCCAAGCCTCTCGCCACCGACCCTTTTGGAGGTGGTGGCACAGGAGGTTCCTTCGAGACTGGTCTTGCCTTTGGTCCCGAATCAGATGCTACGCTCGATGCCTTTGGCACTGATGGATGAGACTTTGCAGCAATTCCCGGTGCACCTTGGGGTGCTTCGATGGCGTCCTTTGGCACGGCCGGTCGAGGCTTCGATGCGATTGCCGGTGAAGATGCTTTTGGCAAAGTCACTTTCCGATCACCCTGCACACTCCTTACCGATGATGTTGAGATTGTTGTCAAAGAACCGGTATTTGTCTTGGCTTTTGCAATCACAACCCTATTCGATGGAGATGTACTTGTGTCTGGATATCCGGGCGGTGGTCCCGATGGTTCTTTTGGGACCTTTGTGTGGCCTGGAGGTGGGCCCGATGGCTCTTTAGGGAAATTTGGAAACTCCACCCAGGATGGAGGATGCTCAGGCTCCCTTGGACTCCTAAGATCTCTGGTTTCTTCTGTTTCCCCTTCCTCGGAACTCACTTCTTCCCACTGATGCTCAAGCGATCCAATAACTTCTTGACGTACTGTAGCTCGAGATCCACTCAAGAATTTTTTGTCAATAATAAATGGATATTCGTTTGATAATGCACCTGTTGCTAACCCGTTTTCGAGAACCGCTGCCTTCTGAGACTGTCCCCTTCTTCCTGAACGATGCCAATCGATAGCCCGCCAGAGGGTGTCCCCTATTGAAGATATTTTCGCAACAGACTAGAGGTCGATTAAACGACGGCTAAAGACCAAATACGAAAAATTGCAGAACTCGAAGATGTAGATGATGAGAGCCTTACGGCTGATAACCACGAGAAAGTGGTTAAGAGTGCCCCGACGTCAATGGCTAAGCAGTGAACGGACGCACCCCTTTTTCCACAAGGCGCTTGAGCCAATGCACAAAAGTATTGACCCCCAAACCAAGTCAGCAGCAGCGAACCTTTTATCCTTGAGCCAAAATGGTTACCGTATGTAACATGCTAAGACTATGCACAACTGCAGATACAAACACACCTCCTAAGCTAGTTGGTTTTGCCAACGGCGCTTCTTCTCAGGTGTTAGTCTTAGCAGCAACCGACACACCTTCCCGAACGTTTTGTCCGAGGGTTGTCAGGTGTCGCTGACAGACTTCTTGTCCCACAGGCTTTGTGCATAGGTCCGCAAGGTTGTCGTTTGTGTGGACCTTGCGGAGTTCGATCTCACGTTGATGCAGCTGTTGCTGCACCCACAAGTACCGAGTCTGAATGTGGCGCGTCTTGCCACTCAATCCTCGTCGATTGCACATTCCACGTGCTGCCGAGGAGTCTGAGAACACCGTGCAGGTCAATGGTATTCTCCATTCATTGTAGAGAGCCCGCATCCCCAGCACGCACGCTGACGCCTTGACGATGGCGTAGAACTCGCTCTCGCCACTGCTCAATGCAATGGTACTCTGAGCAGTACTACTTGCTTTCAGGCAATGACCTCCCGCCATCACCACCAGCCCGGACGTGCTCTTGCGGGTAAAAAGGCACCCCGCATGGTCGCTGTCCGTGTGTCGTACATCTCTTGAGGCTTGAAGGTCTGCACCACTCTTGGTGCTCCTTTCAGATACCTTCCTAACCTCTTCAGCTTCGACCAACTGTGCTCAGTTGGCTTGGCCATGAAACGCGCTAGCGTTTTCACACTTTCACAGATGTCAGCTCGATCCTGTGACAAGTACGCGCATCGCATCACAATCGATCTGTAGGCACTTTGTTGCTCTGGTGGCAGCATTGGCAAGTCCAATGCCTCCAGCACCTCTTTCGAGGTCATCTTCTCCGACGGTGTAGACACCGGCTTAGAGTTTTCCAGACCCAGCTGCTTGACCACTTGCGCACAATGGCGCGGGTCAGGCTCATACTGCAGCTCGCCGGTCTGCTTGTTGTATTCCAGGATTCTGTTGAGCACTGTCATCACAGACCCATCGTTGGGGTCTGGACCGATACACCCATCCACACGATACTCGAATCGCTTGGCGAGAACTCCTTCGATGAACTTCTGGCCCTCATCATCAGCCAGAACCACGAAGTCGTCCCCGTGGCATAGGAACCTGGAATCGGTGGGTTCGTGGTAGAACAACGCGGGCCATGCCACGCCCGCTTCCACTCCATGCTCCTTGAGCAACTCCGTGTATGTTTCCTGCCATACGCTCGAAGCGTCTTGTGTTCCGTACATGGTTCTGAGAAGTCTTGCACACTTCCCTTCCTTTTCTCTCCCAGGAGGGAGATTGGTGAACACTGGACGGCGCGAAGCACCGTAGAAATGCGCCCGAGATATGTCCAGGATGCGCATCTTGAGTGCCCCTCCTCGAGCACTGCGCTTCTTGGATACCATCAGGCTGCAAAGCACCTTCAGTGCCTCCAGCGGTGGCATTGCACTGTACAGATCGTGGTCTGGAAGTGCTTGCCCCTTTCGCTTGATCTCGCGTACCACCAGACGCGACCTGTAGTTGCTATTGCCTTTGTCTCTGTCCACCCACTTCAAGGTGATGGGTGGTGCTCCTGTGGCATCCCAACACTCTTGGATGTCTGCCTCTTCGTAGATCTTCTGCTTCTCCACCCAGCCTAGCTCCTCTTCGCGGGCCTTCTTGACCTTCTGAGGATCTAGCTGCATTCCGGTGACACTGTCGTAGATCTCCTCTTGGCTGTCGTCGTGATAGTCCCACATCTCTTCAGTGGGCTCGTTGCTTGCACCATCCGGACATGGTCCGGCCACCAGCTCGTTGAGAGCGGACAGCTCTCCCATGTCGCGAAGTTCTTGTCTTATTCCCTTCAGGATTGCATTCACCAACCGAGGGGGATAAACTTGAGCATGTCTTGCCCTGCCGTTTATCAAGTGGACGTGGCGATGAGTTCCATCGCAGTTCCCTTCGATTGCTTCAGCCAACCTCTTGGAGTTAGTCATCCAATTGGTCTCTTTCCTGACGAAGCCGACGCCTTGACCGTCCTCCGCTTTCATGTGCCATTTGCACATTGGTGCCGTCACGGTGTAGACGCCAGGTAATTCTTGGATCCTCTTGATATCCTCCTCTTGCCAGCTCTGGCTTGGCTTAGGATGTTCGTGGAGGAAGAACCTTCCGCTTTGATGCTGCTCCATATAAGCATCAGTTGCGACCTTCAGATGCTTCCGCCCTTCGGCCAAAATGGCCTGGTTTTCGGCCTCCGATCTCTTGTTCTTGCTCAGATTCTGCAGCGGACTGAACGGTCCGCAGGGAGGTGAGCCGATGAGAACCAGTGGCTTCTCATCCCTGAGCAACCTCCTCAGGGCTTTCTGGTCCTGCTCAGTTGACAAGTCCCAGTACTCACCCTTGTCGTTCTTGGCCAACGACAAGTCAATGGCAAACCCAGGCCTTAGGCCAAACGCGTTTGCTCGTGAAACAAATCGTTCTGGATTGTAGATTTCTGCCACATCACTTTTGCGAATTCCCATCGAGCATAGAAACTGCCCGATCTCGAGGATTTCCTTCTTGGACTCCAGTCCTGGAAACATGTTTGCTTCCAGCAGTGCCGAGATGTCCTCGGCTGCAGCCTTCGAACTCGACGAAGATGCGCCTCCAGAGGGACTAGAGTTGCTTTCGACCTTCACTGCTTTTTCTTCAGCGGACATCTTGACATCCGTCACTGGGCGTTTAACGCCTCTGGATTCCTCAGGTTTTGCCTTCTTCAAGATGCTCTTGGGCTCCCCTCCTTCGGCCTGTCTCTTGGCCTGAGCCGGCTGAACCAAGGGTTCAACTCGCTCTGGAGCAGGTCTCCCAACTGCATCTGGGCCGTGCACCTCTTGTTCCACATCTGGACCATCTTCCAAGGCTACATGTTCTCCGCCTTCTGCCGGAACAACTGCCTCGCTCTTGCGCTTCCGAGCCTTCTCGACTCGAAGCTTGCCTTCTTCCGTCTGCAGCAGTCTCTGTTGCACTGCCGTTCTGCACTCTGAATTGTGCGACCTTGCGGGCAATCCCGTCTGGATCGCTATGCATCCAGGACACCCAACGGTGTACCGGCCTTCTACGTCCTTCTTCGTGACGTAGAGGTTCCTGGGACCGCCGTCCCTCAGTGCCGGCTCCGGCGTGAGCCGTCCTTCCGCTTCTGGAAGTGCGATCCTCACAGGCAGTGAGTCCACATCTTCCGCCATTCTCGGCCTCAAGTTCCAGGGAGTACCCCGAAGCTTGTCAAAGTCCTCCATGTCCCACCTTTGTTCGATGGGGACTCTCTTGATGCTGCCTCCCTTCCAGACACCATCCACGGTCATGATCAGCACATCACCATTGCGCCCATGTGTTCCGACATAGCGCCCCAGCTTCAGCTGCGGCCCCATGTCACCCTGTCCAGCGACATAGCTCTTCAAGGGCCAAAAGTAGACTTTCTCCCCGAAGCTCACCATGGGCCGCTTCCATCTCTTGCCTTTGAGCCTCTCATAGGCAGTTCGACCGTCTTGGCCGACTCTGTAACGCGACATCAGGAAGTTCCCGTGCCTTGCCACCCAACTCCAAATTGGGTGAGTGTCATTGATCTCGGCCTTGGTTTTCTCCAAGAACGCGCTTTTCATGGCGCGGCACTGTCTCTTGCTCTCTTTGACAGCTGCCTCAGCCAACCCATTTGATCGGCTGTCTCCAGTCTTGCTCTCTTCCAGCAGCACTTCGACGCTCGATGCTGCCTGAACAGCCTCCTTGAGAGACTTCACAGCGGGCTCATTGTCACTCCTCAAAGTCACCCGCTTGTATCCACACTCGCTCAGGATTCCCACGACGAAGTTGACAGCAAAAGCGTCTGCCCCCTTCGCAGGAACCGCACTTGACCAACTCATGCCTGAGCAGTCATCCTTCACTTGCAGATGGGGAAGTCCTTCATCTTGCTTCCCGAAGAAGTAGTAGTCGATGCCCAAAGTGGGCAATGCCTTCTCCTCATGGGCCATTGCTGGATGTTTCTCCAACATCCCTCTGGCTCGCACACAGTGACCACACCAGCTGCGGTGCACTGAGTGCCCTATCATCTCGTGTTCTTCGATCTCCTCGGCAGTGGGACTTGTTGGAGCTCTCAACGCCTTCGGCTTCAGCCCCTCAACAGCCTCACCACCATCGCCGGAGATCTCCATCTCTTCTCCTTGCTCACCCGGACTTACGGCTTCTGCGCCTGCCGGCTGAAACCCTCATCAACCGCTCCAAGGTCTCGACCGACGTGGTCAAAACCTTTATCCTTAGCCGTGCCATTCAGCCAAAGATCGAAAACGTAGATTCCTTTGTGCTCGTAGAGCTCCGTGAGATCGTCAGCCTCCTCAGGATGTGCCTCAACGAGCTTCTTGAATGCTGCCCTCATGCCATTCGCGATCTTGCCCGACTTGGGCAGGATCCAGCCTTTGTCACCTTCCAGCACCACCATGTTCTTCTTTGCCACTGCGGTGCCGCTGGCCAACATCCTGTGGACGCCGACCAATCTTCCATCCACACTCCTTCCAAACCCATTGTTGTTGAGACCCTTGACGACAACTCCACCTTCGTCTTCTAGGATCTCACCTGAAGCAGTCTTGTAGGATCTCAGCATTGACTTCGAGTCTCCTTTCACCAAGCCCTGCTCCTCCAAAGTCCTTGGCACAGCCGTGATGGCTGCCCCAGTGTCGAAGTTCACCACCAGCTTGGTCCAACCGTCACTGGTAGTGAAACTGTTCACATTCTCTTCAAACGAATTGATCTCTTGCTTCTTGCCGGTCAGCTTCTCAACCTCAGTGTTGCGGCTTTCGATGAAGTGGATCTCCCTGTCAAGCTCCGAATGTCCCATTTTGCATTTCGCTCCCCTGTGGCAGTAGGAGCGCCGAAAGTCAGCGCACATCCTTCCGCCTTCGGGATGTTGCAGGTAAAACTCATTGTCGGGGTCCACCTTATAGGCCTTCGCCTTCCTCATCTTCACAGCCTTGACTCTTTTAGCTCTTTGCTCCTTCTGCTCCTTGGTCATGACTCGTCGCCTCATCTTGAACAAGTTGGTGCGCTTCCTCCTCATGACCTTCATCTCATCTTCCTTCGTCTCAGTCTTGAACTTCGAGACCTCGTCTTGGGTCAGCTTTCGATATGATCGCGCAGATTTCACAAAGGTGCCTGCGTCCTTCCTCTTCAGCTGACCTCTTCTGACCTGACGGGCATTTCCTCTCAAGACCCTGATTCCTCCGTCTTCCGTCTCGACAACAGCCTCTGTTTCTATTCCTCCAAGCGTCTCATCATGGTACTCTTCATCCTTCACTTTCTTGCTGTCGAATTCACGATGCCAAGCTTCATCCAGCCGAATACGTTCTGCAGCACGTTCTGGTCTACCAGATCGACGGTGCAAGGTGGCTTTGCGGCGTTTCTTCTCTTCGAACCAGGCCTTGGAGTGCGTGACACCCGCCTTGAGAGCGGCGTGGTACCGCGCATCGTGCCAACTCTGGTCATTCACAGTCTCCGCCGTCAACTTAAATCCACCTTCCTTGCTCTTGAGCTCCTTGCTCCTTCGGTCGTTGTCCCTGATGGTCTCCTTCAAGGTGTTCTTGCGCTCGTCGATCTCCTTGATGCGTGTCTCCAACACCTTCATCTCGTCTTCATCCTCACAGTTCTCAAGCTCTTGGATCTTCTCTCTCTTCTCGGCATCCAAGTTGGCCACCTCGAGCATCTCAACCGTCCGATGCATCACCTGACTCGAAGCTGATCCGATGGGTCGAGATGGAACTGCAGCCTCGGCCGATCCACTGGATCGACTCGGGCCGTCCACCTCCAGGGTCGGTCGTTGACCAAGGGTCCGACTCACCCTTCCCACCAGATGCTCCGACAGCTTCTCGAAGTAGCTGATCCTCATGTCTTCTCTAGATGCCTCGAGCTGCTTGAGAGTGCTGGCGTTCTCATCTCGACTTGTCCTCAGTGGATCATGTGCACCTGCCTCAACTCATCCTTCCTGTCCTCGTCCAAGCTATGGAAAGCACCCTGCGTGATGCCCTTGAACAAGCAGATGGTCTTGTCCACTAGGTAGTGAAAGCTTTCAGGACGAGTGATCTTGAGCAGGTTTCGAATTTGACTCTTGGACGATCCCGCCGACGTCGCATCTTCAACCAACTTCCTGCGATGATTGCTGCAGACTCCACACTCATGAATGAAGTGACGTTCATTGGGATCCACCTGGCACTTCAGGTGCAGGCAGCAGTCACAAGGCTCGGAGCACGACACTTCCTCCGACTTCACCATCACATAGCGCTCAGGTTCCACCCGAACATTCACATAGGTGCTGCTCGAAGTTCCCGTCGGTTCTTCAATCTCCTCAGCCTTGATCTCTTCATCTTCACTCCATTCTTCAAGTCCGGCGATGCTCAAGTAGCCGGTTTCTGCAGTCTCAGCTTCCGGCTCGGCCTCCTCCAAGTTGCTCACTCTGCCACCCTTTCCACCTTTCTTTGACGATCCTTTGGACTTCGGTTGCTGGTTCTTGTTGGCAGCTCCACCGCCGGCAGACCAGCAGTCCTTCCTCAGGTGGCCTACCTTTCCGCGGTTGTTGCAGGTTCGGGTTTCCTTGGACCCGTCGCCAGGCCCTTTTCCCTTTGCTGCACCTCCTTTGCCTTTGCCCTTGGAGGAGCCCTTCTTACCGTCACCTTTGCCGCCCTTCTTGCCCTTGCCTTTGGGACCCTTGCCAAATGCCCCGATGTCCATGGGTGCCGCACCTCCGGGATCCACCACCTTCATGCGGCTCCCCAGGCGAGATTCCAGAAACAGGACGACTTCGCCCCGGACATCATCGTAAGAAGCGTATCTCGACCTGTTCATCTGCAGGTGCTTCTCCAGCTCCACCGGGCATAAGTGCTCGATCACCGATATCTTTATCTCATCATCCAAGATGTGCCTGGTGCCATCACTGCGTTTCCTCGCCTCGTATAACCTGAGCTGTTCTTCCCAGGCTTCCAAGGCGGACGACAAGTCCTCGATCTTGGTGATCTTCGTGGGCGTCAAGATGTGGCGCAACAGTGCACGACGTCTGCCTCCTGTCGTGGGGTCGAACCTCTTGATCAGCTTTCTCCAGGCTTCACATCCGTTGTTCCGACCAGCTGAACGAACGATCGTGAACGACTCTTTCTCGCAGAGGCTTTGCAGGACTGCGTAGAACTGGGTGTTCATGCCTTCGACGTTCTCGATGGTCCTGTCGGTCGGATTGACTGGGCCAAAGCTTGCAAGCAGATCTGCATTCGTGATCTCGCTGTCCTCATTCTCCGCCCAGGCCATCACCGACTCGAACTCAGGGTAGACCGAAGCGATGAACGACTCCAGTTTCGTCCTCCAGTAAAGGAAGCTCTCCTCCTTTCCGTCGAACTTCTCGGGCTTTGCCAAGCCCTTCGTGTCAAAGAGGGTCACGTTCCTCTCCTCCTTCTGCTTTAACCCGTCGATGAGGTCCTTTTGGCTCTGGGCCATGACTTGGAAGGCTTGTCCAACCACTGCTTGCAGACTTCCAGGTCCAGGGTTCTGAACTTGCTGTGTCAGCTGTTCTACTTGGGCTCTGAGTTGCTGTTCTCTCTGCTGTGCTTCCGTGCCGACTTGCACCAGCTGTTCAACCTGGGCTCTCAACTGGGCCTCACGCTGTTGACCTCCATTGACTGCCTGTCTCAACTCCAGCAAGGTGTTGATGAGCTCTTGCGCATTCATCTGAGGCGCTGTTCCTGCAGGCTGCTGGGCCATTGCGTCCTAAGTCGACGCAAGAGGTTTGGATTCACGTGGTGGTTCAAGTGGTGTCCTAGGTACGCGAAGTACCTCTGTCGCTTCCTCACTCTCCGAAGCTTCCGGACCAGCCTTTCCCACCTGCTCGGAATCCTTCTCCGCCTCCTTTGGATCCACCCCAGCAGGGTCCGGCCGATCGAAACGATCGACACGACCCCGATCAGGAGTGGAATCCAAGTGAGCTCGACCGCGACCACCAAACGAATCACTAGATCGCCAAGCAGCTCCGCTACCATGCACAAAAGTATTGACCCCCAAACCAAGTCAGCAGCAGCGAACCTTTTATCCTTGAGCCAAAATGGTTACCGTATGTAACATGCTAAGACTATGCACAACTGCAGATACAAACAGCCAAACATCCGGTCCATAGATTTGTGGACCTGTTGGCTGGTTCATTATGACACTATACTATGTCACAGTACATGCACAAACAGTGGATTCCCTACGAACATACTAGATGTCGTAAAAACAGGTCAGTACGAATGCATGCATATATGGAAGGAGCCTAATGGCTTCACAACCATGGCTTGTTGGCATAACAGCTTCGATTGGTTGGTGACACGAATCCATGTATTTGGTGATACATCTGCTTGGACATAATTGGTGATATTGCATGAGTTTATTCTTCTACTTCTTCCAATAATGAGCACCAAATGCTGTAGCGGGGACGGGGAAGGAAGGAAAGACAAAGGAGGTGGTGGAGGATCAAGAAGTAAAACAAAGGTGTGTGTGACAAAGTTGTATGTGAAAGATGGTGTGCGACAAAGAAAGATGGTGTGTGTGTGTGTGACAAAGCTGTGTGTGAAAGATGGTGTGTGTGTGTGAAAGTTGTGTGCGAAAGAGGGCGTGTGACAAAGTTGCATGTGAAAGATGGTAAGTGACAAAGTGGTGTGTGAAAGATGGTGTGGCGAAAGATGGTGTGTGACAAAGTTGTGTGTGAAAGATGGTGTAGTGAAAGATGGTGTGCGACAAAGTTGTGTGTGAAAGATGGTGTGGTGAAAGATGGTGTGTGGCAAAGTGGTGTTTGAAGGATGGTGTGGTGAAAGATGGTCAAAAAAGTGGTGTGTGAAAGATGGTGTGTGAAAGATGGTGTGTGACAAAGTGGTGTGTGAAAGATGGTGTGTGACAAAGTGGTGTGTGTGAAAGGTGGTGTGTGAAAGGTGGTGGGTGAAAGATGGTGGTTGACAAAATGTGTGTGAAAGATGGTGGTTGACAAAGATGTGTGTGAGAGATGGTGGTTGACAAAGATGGTGTGTGTGAAAGATGGTGTGTGAAAGCCACGTGAAACCAAGGTGGATGTCGCCAAGCGCCACGCCTGCACGCAAAAGTGCCACCCAGGCCTCATATAGGATATGTCCTCCAAGTTTTGGACACAGCGGCATTGCTTTCTAAGCACAGCAGGACAAGCTTGCAGGACTTTGCAAGATGCAAAGACATACAATCCATGCTGCTGAGCTCAAAGCATCTTCAACGCCAACTTACCAAGAAGCAATAATTCATCACCTTTGGCACAAGCAGCCGATAAGCAATTCCTCTCCTTTACCACAAGCAGCCGGAACAGAAAGAATGCTGTGCAGGAGGTGGGTGAAGCGCATCGTCGTGCTCACATTCTGCGCGGCATCGCCAAGAGTTCACGAGTCCACATGGTCAAAAGGAACACGATGGAACTGCCTGATGTGCTCCTGCAACTCAAGAATCCTTCGCAACTTTAGCCGGTTCAGGTCTTCAGTCGCATATTGCAGAAACGCAATGCAGTGTTGACTGTGTGCGACACCGGGCATTTCCAGCACGGTCAGCATGCGTTCGTTGTCGAACAGGTTGGATTGCATCAAAGGGAGGCTATAGATCTGCCTGTCAATGACCAAAATTGGTTCCAACAGCTCTTGCATGGTGGTCGTCAAATTCGGCTCGCTTCGAAAAACTGCCATTGCCAAAAGTAATGCGTGGTTGATTGAAAAACTGTTGAAATTTGCATGATCGACCAGTGGAAACCCTGATGGTGCTACATTTTCCTCGTGGTTCCGGAAATCAAACAAAAATGAAAAGAAGATCCTTATTTCCCCTAGGCCCTAGTCATTGTCAAGAATAAAACATTTTTTTGATTTGCTGGGTGTTTCTGGAAATTGAAGAAGGACAAAGATTGCATGCACGGATGCTTCATGAATCTGCGACTCAGTTTGATTACATATACGCAAGTTCAAAATATCATGATATATTTTGAGGGTTTCAGTATTTGTTCAAACTGTATTTGAACTTATTTGCATCCAAATTTGACAGGAGAAATGGCTACGGAAGGGAAAACACGCAGGAATGAAACACATCGAACTGCAGCTGATATCACACAAATCTGGCTGAAACTCTGTCATACGGGATGCACACACTCAAGTTTGCAATGCGCATGACAATTTTTCTTCATTCAAAAAACGTTGGAGGTTGAGTTGCAGTGCTACATGTATATCTATGCATGTTCCCAATTCGATTTTCCACTTCACGCACTTGAAAGTGTCAACCAAGAACCAGATATCTTCAAAAAAAAGACCTCATCTCGTGCGGTCTCTGAGCCATCACGTTGTTCCAAACAGTAAGTACGCATCTTCATCAATGCTGCCTCTGCACAGAGCGTGCTGCCAAGGAAGCCAGATCTGTCATACTGATGCAAAGAACACCAAGATTGGATCTTCCAAGCGGCAATCGATGTCATGTCGGCCGGGCGAGGCAAAACATCTTCTGAATGTTGGTAACCCCGTTTTTCGTCCCAGATGCGGCATGTCATGTCTGCTGTGATGTACAGGTCATCAATCGATGCCAAAGCCCTGGTTCTTCCGAGATTTTTCAAAGTCCGTCTGGCCCAATCCCTCAGCAACCCTGTGTTCAGCTGGTATTTCGTGATCTTCTTCTGCACTATTCCACACCGAGGCGAAAAAGAATTGCACCAGTGCCAGCTGCAACCACATAGGCAGTGCTATATATATATATATATAACAAAGCGATCGAGCAAAACAGCTTTCTCGCAACAAACCAGGTTCCAAAAAAACATGGCAAATTTAGAATTACCATTTGAGACATGAACGGTTTTCATATAATCTTAAAAGACAGTGAACGCGTTCGATGCACCACAATCAACTCATGACTGCTGTGTCCCTCACGCCGCAGAGCACCAGGATTCAATGCTCTGTAAAGCACACTGACCATAATTGATATATAGTGATTGCCGTGTGGGTTACCCACACTGGATGAGGACACGAACATCTTGTTGGGATGGAGGCACGTATGCACAGGCTCATTTGCAGGTCCTAGCAGCCGGCCCCTAAATCCCTTCAATCCATGCAGCGAAAATGAATGATTTTAGTTTTAGTTTTCATTTTTATAGCACACAATTTGTTTGAAAAATATCCCATGCATATGAAAATTGACCGGTTCAGCTCAGTTTACATCAAAAACAACAAAAATATATAATATGATGTGTATATATATACATATATATATATATATTAAGATCTTTTATTTTATGGATAGTTTATCTACATATATAGTATTTTCTATATTCAATTTCTATATATGAAAAAAACTGTTCTTGAATTTTATATAAATATAAAATTTTTATTTTGTGGATATATATTTTTTTGGATATATTTTTTAATATATATATATATATAATTTTATGTTAGTGGATCCTTATGGCTCTGATCCCGGCAGCCACGACCATATCATTTGTATCCATGTCCGGGGCTAACCACCCTTGAAACCATAAACCAGTTTTGGGTTTCATCACGCCCCCTCCCAACTTTTGGATCGTTGAATCCTCATGTGTGTCTTAAGCAAATTCCACCCTGAGCCAAAATATTCCAAAATTATACCGGCAAGAGATCCCAAACAGTGTGGGGGGCAGGAAATCAAGGTACCAGATACAAGCAACAGTAGCTATGGAACAGTAGCAAATAATGACGGATCAGGTTGCTTCTGTATATCTAGGTATCTATCTATCTATGTATCTGTCTGTCTTTCTATCTATCGATCTATCTATCTATCTGTCTTTCTATCTATCTATCTATCTATATCTATCTATACCTATCTATATCTATCTATATCTATCTATATCTATCTATATCTATCTATATCTTTCTATATGTATCTATATCTATCTATATCTATCTATATCTATCTATATCTTTCTATATGTATCTATATCTATCTATATCTATCTATATCTATCTATATCTATCTATATCTATCTATATCTATCTATATCTATCTATATCTATCTATATCTATCTATATCTATCTATATCTATTTATATCTATCTATATCTATCTATATCTATCTATATCTATCTATATCTATCTATATCTATCTATATCTATCTATATCTATCTATATCTATCTATATCTATCTATATCTATCTATATCTATCTATATCTATCTATATCTATCTATATCTATCTATATCTATCTATCTATGTATCTATCTATCTATCTATCTATCTATCTGCAAGATCAAAAACTAAGAAATTCTCGGAGACTTCCTTCATGTTTGAGCATAACAACGTCCAACAACGAAACAATTCTGCGAAATCTATCTATCTATCTATCTACCTATCTATCTATCTCTGTCTGTCTGTCTGTCTGTCTGTCTTTCTGTCCGTCTGTCTGTCTGTCTGTATCTGCAAGATTGAAAACGAAGCTCTTCTGCGAGACTTCCTCATTTTTCGAGCTTAACAACGTCAAAAACAAAACAATTCTGCGATACTTCTTTAATTCTTGAACCCAACAACATCCAAAACGAAACAATTCTGCGAGACTTCTTCAATTTTTGAACTTGACAACATCAAAAACAAAACAATTCTGCGAGACTTCCTTCAAAAATGGAAAGTTGAGTGCAGCGCTGACAGCCTCGTACCAATGCGTTGTGCATTTTTTCTACTCCACCTATCTAAAGTACTGCGCCTGCCACGAAAAAGTGATGCCAGGTCATACGAAGTGCTGCAAAATCATCTTCCCAAAACTGAAGATATCATGCTCCAAAATGCAACCCCTCTCAGGAAATCAGCGCCCGGACCTCCTAACATCTCTGATGAACATGTCTCTTGTACTGCGCCTGCCACGGAAAATGCATCTTTGCAGATCCTCTTCAAATGCCCCATGCCTGCCATCGTTTTTGGAAATGCTACAAAACCCTTACGTTTTGCTCACTTTTGACAAGGTGCACAATCCTTTGCGCCTGCCACGCGAAACGACATCTGAACCTCCAAAGGTGGCGCGAACATGTGGTGTTTTGTACAGAATCACTTCGAAATGTGCTTTGCGCCACAACGGCGTGCACTTTTCCGACATCTCAACTTCCAAAAGTGGTCCGAGGCTGAGGTGCTTTGTATATTTTGACTTGGAAATGTGCTTCGCGCCACAACGGCGTGCACTTTTTCGACATCTCAACTTCCAAAAGGGGTCCGAACGTGAGGTGTTTTTAGCTTTTTCACTTGCAAATGTGCTTCGCGCCACAACGGCGTGCAATTTTTCATCACTCATCTGGCCAGCTAGCTCCGCGCCCGCCGCTTTAGCGAGCCTACTTTTCGACCCTCCGGAGCCTCAAATCATTGGAAAAACACAGTGTTTCGCGACTTTCCTACCTTTTCGCGCATCTGAATCTTCTTTCTTCTGACTCTTTCTATTCTCTGATCTTCTCTCTTCTCATTTTTCTCTTCTCTCTGCCTCTGCCCTGCTCTGCTTTTCATCTGTCCATATTGTCGGAAGTTTGACTTCTAAACTTCCTTCGAATATATATAATACAGTTAGTACAGGTGTGTTTGTTCAATTCTCAACAGAGTTTTTGTTCCATCTCTTACAAATATATATATATATACACTATATCATAATGTACCTTCCCCATGTTGCAACGCCGTTGAGATGGGATACGCTCGTCCAAGGCACGTCAGGGGCAGCAGGTTGTTCTTACTGCGTCGATCCGTGGCGCACTGCACAAAGCTGCCACAGGCCACGGGGCAGCCAGGGCCAGGCACCAAGGTGCCTCCCAACTGGGGAGTTTCGATGGCCTTCTCTTGAAGCTCCTTATTGGGGAACTGAACGCAGACCTGGAATCCCATTCTGCCATTCCCAACTAGATCCAACTAGTAATTAATGGTTGTTTCGCTATGGTAGTGAGCATTCCATTGAGGAAATTTGGTGTTTGAAGCTTGCCCACCATTTATTTCTGGTTGTTTGGGTTCCGGGTCAACATGTTTAAAGTTTAACTTTTGGTGCATGTGATTCTCGAAAATCAATCGCGATAAGAACATAAGAGCATCCATTCATTCTTGGCGAGGACACGACTTTCAGACTTTCAGAGCAACCCAAATGATCTGGGCGGAAGGGGAGATCAACTCATCCGAACTTAATCTCGACTGTTCACCTATCCGGTGTAAAAAATGCATGCGCTTCTGGTCGCTTTCAACTGTGATTCTATAACAAGATGCAGGAATCAAAAAAACACGCCACATACTCAAACACCGAGCTCCGAGCTTCTTTGGAACCGCTCTCGGTCCCGAAGGATTTCGACTGGAAAAGCTCCGGGACGCCGAGCACTGCGACCAGGGCAGTCACAGCCAGGATGCCAGCTGCGCCACCTGCGGAAACCCTGAGACGTCGCTGTGGCGCTCCGCCTGGCTCAGCACGGAGCAGGGACCTCTGCTCAGCTTCGCCTGGGTCGGTGTGACCAGATGTGACCAGATGTGACCAGATGTGACCAGGGCTACCTTTTTAGGTGGGTTGTGACACGTTGCAAGATGTTGCAAGATGTTGTGACATGTTGTGACATGTTGTGACCCTGGAGCGTCCAAGGTTGTTTGAAGAGAAATTGGTGAAATATGGTGAAATATGGTGAAATATGGTGAAATATGGTGAAATATGGTGAAATATGGTGAAATACCAGGAAGGTTGCCGCGTTCGGCAGGCATTTTTTCCATCCGTTGGTGTTTCTAACCAGCTGCGGTGTTGTTGCTGTGACGAAGCTTCGACCTGGTTTTTTGAAGTGCTGGAAGTGGCGAGGTTCTCCCACACCGCGCCTAAAACGCATTGGAACCTTGAATGACATGCTGAAGAGTTCATATATTATAGTTGCTATTCAAAATATGAATGGGACCCCCTGATTGTTAAACCAGGAGTTTATGAATGCAGAGTTGTTCTTATCCTGTCACTGCCCAGATCGGATCTGCTAACTGCTCCCTGCCCAGGGGCCGTTCCGATCTTCGCGGAACGTTGCCATGGCGTGATGGAAGATGTCTACATTTGGGCCACTTGTTGGGCAAATGTTGCTAAATATACCATACATGGAGCATCATGGATGATTTACCGAGGTTGCTGAGTAAAACCCGGCATATGGGACGTGGGAACCCAGGATATCTGCCAGGGCTGTCTGACTTCAGAATACTTCATAGTCACGGCCAGGCTTAAGCAGAGACATTGCAGGCCCACCAGGACGCCATGGAATTCAGCGATACGGCCCTCGTGTTTCACCTCGGTTGGTTGACCTTTGAAAGAACCAGGAGTCACGCTTAGTCCATTTGATAACTGAGATATCCCAGATATCCCAGATGCTCCCTGAGCTCCACCCCCGCGATGAATTTCAACCAGCGACACTTGGATCTTGGATATTTCAGGTATGAGATTTGATTTAAATATTACCATCTTGATCATTATTCAATATTTATATATATGTTGATGGTTTCATATCATCCGAGTGGAAAGCGCTTTTTTGGGGGTTCCACCAGTTCCACCTCGAACCAACATGTTTCTTCAGCGCACCTTACGCCGCATGTGGCACTATCTCTGCCGCGAGTGACAAGCGCGAAAAGAAACAAACATACTGGCATCCACTATATATATATAATATATATGGGTGTGTATGGGTCAAAATTATGCTCCCAAAACCCAGAAATAGGTCATATCTAAGTAAGGACACCAGGTATTTTGACTCGGGGCCATATAGCTTGATGGTCTTTGATAGCACGTGACAGTGTATTTGTATACATGATGCATGAACATCCATATCTGGGGGACGTGAATGATAGCCCCGGAACTCCAAACATGAAAAGAAATGGATACCCTCTGGTGAACTAACATAGCAATTGAAAATGGCCATTTATAGTGGATTTTCCCATTAAAAATTGTGATTTTCCATTGCTATGTTAGTTTACCAGAGGGTATGACTTGCGAAGTGCTAAATCAACACTGCAACGATGCGGGAAGGCCACCACCACGAGCTTCGTCTCGGCACGGAAATGGCTGCGATGTTTCGAAGTTCCGAAGTCACCAAGATGTGTTTTCAATCGGCTCAAGACATTTGAATAAACCGCAGCCAACTTACCAAATGTTTACCCCTTTGGGGAACATGTAAAAACCATGCTGAGAAAGCGGTTTACCATGGCCGTTTACCACACATTTCTGGACAGATCCAGATCCAAAGCGGCCTTTTCTGCACCGTTCTTCAGCGCCATGGTTGGGCAGCAACACTTGCAGCGGTTATGGCAAGTGCAAACTGCTCACTTTGTACATCCGGGTCATTGACCCGAGGTTTTCGGAATGACGAAAAATGACGAAAAGTGGCTGACGATATATGTCCAATGTGGCTTCTTGTTTCATGGAAATTGCATGTTTAATATGTTTAATTAATATGTTTAATATATTTCTGCATGGTTATGATGGTCTTCAAACTGACTCAATCTCAACATCGACCTCTCAGATTTTCTCAATCCGCATGGATCACAATGGCAGTATCTGGCGCAGCGATGTCACTGATGAAATCCTCACATCGTCCAACAGCAACCCTGCAACCCTGCTCCGGCCTCGCAACAGCCATTGGTCCTGGCTACCCGGAGCCCCAGGTTTTGATTCGGGTTTGTCTGAAAATAGTGTACCCATCAAAAACCCAATGGTTAATGATCATTATCCCTACTAAATGGCTATTTCATTGGGGGGTATACCCCATTTTCAGACATACCCTGATCCATCTGGCCATGTGCACTGGCCATGTTATGCAACTTCCGTAGGAAAAAATCCGGAGGCTCCCAGATTTCGCTCTTTCAACCAGATCTCAGGGCCTGAGACTCACAGGAACCCATCGGAATGTCCACAAAGTCCAGGGGCTGTTGGTCGCAGCACCAAAGTCCCATCTGTCCTGGGAACACAAAACCGGGCATGAAGTACAGCAATGCATCGATCTTGGTGACTGTTCAAGAATCAAACATGCAATAGATTGGTTGGTGGTGATGGATGGTGATGGATGGTGATGGATGGTGATGGATGGTGATGGATGGTGATGGATGGTGATTGTTCAACATGTTTTTCAAGAGTCCATAAATCAGGATGCAGTAAAATCATTCAATGGCATTCAATGGCCCACTGAATCATTGCTGTAGATATGCAAAAAAAACAATGTTTTTCACAGCCAGTGTAACAGTGTGGTTTATTGTGGAGGTCATGGTATCAATGGCCATGTCAGGAACCTAAATTGGAGGTAGGTACCATATATAAAGGCCTACTTTTTAGGGCTACAGGAAAGCGCGAAACTCATGCCTAAGTCACGCCTGTGTGCTGAAAATCTGCTTTCCCCCATCTAAATGCAATTTCCAGGAAGTCATGCCTATGTCATGTTTACATGGTACGTTAGTCGTATTTCCATCTGTATCCTGGAGAATCTCCCAGGGTCATGGTATCGCCTCGGAATGGACTCTGCAACAAGAGCGGGCAGCTGAAGTTGTGGATTCGGTTGTTCGCCGCCTGCGAATCTGACAGATCTGGAAATCTCTGACAAATTTGGGGGAAATTTGGGTTCTCCTGAAAGCTCAGGAGTAATGTAATTAGCATTCATGTATATATATATATACTGTGGAGATATATATATATATAATGAAATTATGAAATGATATGTCAGTATAAATTCACCATGATATATTTATGTCACCATATATGGATTGATGTTGGTTATGTTGGTTATGTTGGTTTATTTTTTGATCCAAGGATTGTACAAGATTTCGAGGTAATCCAAGCTGCGCTTAACATCCAGGACCGCTGCTGTCACAGTCATTTCAGATGTTTGCTGCAAGGCAATCTGCAGGGATTGGGATTCCTGTCTGGTTTTTATGCGAGATTTTTTCACATTAGTTGCAATTGCTATCCCCCAATAATGTAAAGCCAACAAACAACCCAAAAAAATGCTGGGAATGAACCGTGACGCATCATGATGTTTGGCGGAAACACCAGAAACTGCCTTGGACATCATCATTTGCAGCCGTCCACCACCCAGGCTTCCGCGTTTCGGAGCAGCACGAGCACGTAGGGCCTCAAAATGTTCCAGCTGAAATTGGTATCTCCAATTTGGTTGGTTCAAACTGTTAATTGGTATTGGTATATATAAATAAATCACAAGATGAATCACAGAATGTTTATGTTTGAAAAATATTTAATCCATTTTAATCCTCTGATCATGATGCCTGATTTTTTTCTTCAATCCACTTAAAGCACCCAGCTGGCAAATCCAGAATGTTGTCCAACAACCACCCCAAAAATCAAAAAAAAAACATTGTTGGAATGCCATGATCCATCCATTGGGCTTATCCATTCCTATGGAGCTGCTGAGCTTGTCCCGCCTCCTGCATTTTGCTCAGCCCCACAGGGCCTATGGGAGGTGACGGAGAATTCATGACCTGTACCAGGTCTACAGATCTATCATCGATATGTATATCTTATGATATATCATAATATATCATAAGATATCGTAATAATTCATAATATATCATGAAATATCATAACATATAAAAATACATCATTAATATATATATAGTCTATAGATATCAAATATCTGAACCTCCAAATGATCGACATATCGACACATCGACATTCTGATCGGCCTTTGGAGCCGGCCAGGGAGCCCCTTCCCATTTCGGTCTTGGGTTCCTGTGCTCCGTTGGGGCGATGTTGAAACAGGGATAACAGGTGATAACAGGTGCACCCTTTCAGGGAATTTCGGGAATTCCCCACAAAATGCCTAGGTATTGCCTGGGTTCACAGCTTCGGGAGTCACTTTTTGATCATTTGACCAAATTAGCGTAGTTTAGCGGCGTTCCAAACTTCAGAAAGTGTCCGAAGAAAAAAAATCTGAGACCCAATTGGTTAGTTATCTCCCGGCGCGTTTTTTTCACATCTTGCCTGTGTCCCATCCACGGCATTGAACCGAATGACCTGAAAAATCAGAGATCTGCTAGACTTGACCGCATACCAGCAGTTGATCTAGTTGGATATGAAGCAGCTATACTTCTAGTAGTTGATATCACATGATACCAAATGGCTTGGTTTCCATGTTTGATTCAGCCAGATACTTCACGTCGTGACGTGGGTTTCCCTCCGGGGATTTCCTGAGCCAGGTTTGATTTCCAGAGGGTATGTCCTCTAGCTATGGTTACAAATCTGAATACCCTCTGGTAAACATACAAAAAGCTATGGAAAATCACCATGTTTAATGGGAAAACTCACTATAAATGGCCATTTTCAATAGCTATGTTAGTTTACCAGAGGGTATAGTTTCACAATTTCCTATAGCTATACTTCAATTGGAAGTAAATCAGATGTCATATCCTATTGCTACAAACGTTCCACACTGGACGGCGATGAAACTCAGCTGCCAACTGGCAAGACGCAACTGGGCTGCAGGGGGTCTGGCTCCTGTCGCGATGCTGGTTTTACCACCCAAATCTGAGAAGGTCCCATAAGTCCTGGAAACCAACTAACCAAGGAATTGTACATTGCAATGGATGAGTTTCACTGCCCTCAAGCTAAGTTCATACTATTTCTATATCTATTGAATCTATTGAATATATTTCTAACCTAAATCGAATCTATTGTCATCCATTGTCATCCATTGTCTATTTCTAAATCGTTGCTGCGCACCAACTGACACTATTTCGATGCGACACCCATCGATCCGCATCTCCTCCAAGATCCCCTTGCGTCGACTCCACGATGCGCCCACCAAGACCAGGTTGGCCACAAAGACCCCTGGCTCTGGTCGAACTATGTCGAACTCGGAGCCCTGAATCCCGGTTTTTCCATCAGTCTTTTCAACCCCCTTGTGAATCAATATGAAAATCTAGAACATGAGATGATGGTCCCCACTTAAGTTTCCTAGCTTTAGAGTGTCTTTAATTTGCTTAAATCACCAACCATCGTCAACCAAACTCGTTACTTCTGACGGCAATCAAAATAGGGTTGAACCTAAAATAACACTTATTACACCAAAGGTCTCTATCTCATTGTTTGTTTTTTCAAAAGGACTATAGTTTACTCTTTGACAACAAGATTGTATCTTAAACATTCTTAAATCATTACTGGTTGGTGGTTGAGCCACCCCTCTGAAAAATATGAGTTCGTCAGTTGGGGTTATTATTCCCAATATATGGAAAGTCATAAAATTCCATGGTTCCAGTCACCACCAAGCAGTCATATATCATCATATAATCATCATATAATCCATTTTTGACATGAACATCACTTTAATGATAATCATTGATAATCACTGATAATCACTGATCATCACTGATAATCCATATTATAATATTATAATCAGTGACATCACCATATTATATGGATGAACATCATATAATCACTGATAATCCATATAACCAGTTTTTATCATTAATATAATCATTAATTATCATTATTATGGTGGTTTACATGATATAATCATCTAATATTATCATCAGTTTTTATCATACCACCAGGCGTGGCCATGGCGTGGCCTTGAAAGCTCGCGAGGTCCAGGGCTCGATCCGCTTGCAGTTGCTGTGCCACCTGGATCAATCCCCATCGCACGGATGGCTGGGATCATGGCCAGCAAATTGTGGCACAAAATATACACAAAAAATATACAAAATTATACATACATATACATATACATATACATATATATATACATATATATAATATAATATAATATATATATATACAAATAATATATACAACTAGTGGCCATGAGTGGCCAGCAATTCATGAAGTTTCGATTTAGTGGAATCGTCAACTTCAACAACAACAACAACAACTGTCCTTCTCCAGCCGTACTAGATTCACTAGGGCCTCCTCTTCATTCTGCAGCAGGTGTTCCACGTGATGTTCGAAGTGCATCTTTTCCAACGAGGACTTGCGCAGATGGGCCATGCCCTGCAGTACCGCCGTCAGGAAACCTGGCTTTTTCAGCTGTGGTTCATGGACTTTTGCTGGAATTGGATGTATGATATGTATCATATGTATAATATGTGTAATATGTCTATTGTCGTGAGTCATGTTTGATGAATTGGATGAATTGGATGATTCATTGCCACTGACTTTTGTAGAAACTTCTTGATTCTTGGATGATGATGGAATTGGCTGATGACGGTTAGTTGGACGGTCGATTGTTGATTGTGGGATGGTTTTTGCGGTGATCTTCTGCATGATGGATGGTTGCTGACTATTGTGGATGATGGAATTCGACAATCAGCTGGTTGATACTCACTGGATTGTAACTATACAGCCATCGCCATTGAACATAACCAGCAATGCAGCCATCAACTAGATTCAACCATTAGTTCATCAAGAACCAACCATTATCCAGGATGATAACCATGGTTAATCATGTTTATTCGAATATAACAGCGGTTGTTCTTAGATATGAGATAGTGGTGATCAACCGCAATTCATAATGCTTAATTTGATGCATATAACTCAATGGTTATCTGGAAAAGAATGGGTGAATTATCCACTGAATAAACATCACTTCTTTGATACTCACTGGATTGCAATTTGATGTTTATTTGATGATGAAATTTATCAACCCTTTATCCACAATCAACTATCATCAACTATCATCAACTATCATCAACTATCATCCAGGATGATCTTATGGTTTTTGTTATTTGATGGATGATGATGTTCATTTGAATCATAAGCATGAATAACCAAATGTTACCCATGATGGATAATGATGGATGAACAATCATTTGGTTTATTTGGATAAAAACATCCATCATTACTAACCCATGATGTCATTGTCCCGTTGTTTAGCCTATGTTTCTGATTCGTCTTCAGTCAGCTGCACCTTGCGGATTGAAGAAAGAGGCCATGGAGAAGCACACCGGCACCTGAAGACCAGGTAAACCACACCCCAGGTTATGGTAATTAATGATTAGCTATTATTAAATCTACTTAATCTAGCTATTACAGTAGATGTTGCGTATTAACCTACATTTGTTTATGGAAAATGAAATATGTCGGAAGCACTGGACAAAACCAGGCAACTTGACAAAGTTCCACTGCTTAGACTCAGTTTAGACCTGATCATGACATAATTTGGCAATGATCCAAATCTCTGCCTTGCCCTTCTCTTCCCAGCTGTGCAAGGACAAAATCCGGGATGTTACGTCCTGGGGATCTGCCAGATTTCAGGATATCATGTGCCCGCGACCATGGTCAAGTCAGGATCATTACGGGTCAAGTCCCAAATGGGATCAAATGAGAGACGGAAAATGAGAAAATGGGATGGAAAATGGGATACTGATGATACATTTTCCATGATACTAGTGGAAAGATGTGGAAAGTGATGAGAATCTCACCCCAGCAGCATGTTTTCGCCATGTTTTCATCGGATGATCTCTCCTTAGACCATGAAGCCAATGCAGTTCTAGGCGGCCTAAGTGGAGCACAGGTCTGTGGCTGATCCAAATCGGATCCATTTTTTGGATCCAAATTGACCGAGCTCACCGAGCTCATGGGATCCTTGGCCACCTGACATGGCCAGCCACGCGCTGGGAGTTCGTAAGAGTCGGATGGACTCGAAGACCTGCAGAAAAAAGGGATGCCGGTGCTCCCAGCTGACGCCAGATGCCCAGATGCGCCTCTGCCGTGTCGGGATCGTAGGGCCTGCTGCCTGCCGGCCATGGCCATGGCCGACGTGGGAAAATGCGCAGATGACTGCATCGGAATACAGATCATCTATGAATCGCATACGTCGGACTACATCTCTTTGCAATTTTGCATCTCTGTATCCAGTTGTTAATATACTTTGCGTATCTAGTGTGTCATCCCATGGATCTCGGAAGTTCGACAAATCCCGCAGTGCACCTTCCAGAAAGCCAATGATCGCCTGGGGCTGGAACTTCTGTTTTTTCAACTTTTTAGACATAGTTGAATAGATAAGTTAATACTATTTAATAGATAAGTTCATAGAATATCATAGAATGCTGAATGTCAATGTCAGTGTCGAAGTGCGGTTGGTTTTATACCTATAGATACCTATAGATACCTATAGATACCTATAGATTCTCTCAATTATATCCCAATAAAAACATCATAAAACATGTGGTTGGATTGTATGAAATCATATCCCAACTATATCCCCATGATAAATCCACCAAAAAACTGGTCATCTCCCCATGATCTCCCCATGATACCCAGCACTTTTCCAAGCCCACCTCCAGCTGGGTGCGCGCTCTTCGCAGCAAGCCGCAGGCCAACTCCAGTTCTCGGAGCAGATGCAGATGCAACGCACTGGCCACTTCTTCAGGCATGCCATCCTCCTGAAAATGCTGGGAAAATGCTGGGGAAACTCTGAGAATTTTTGGGGAATGTTCCTGACATCTCCTGAAATGTGCAGAAATCACCAGTCATGTTGTGATCCAAACATGGACATTGCAGAAATCACCAGGGAAACTGTTATAAAGATGTTGAAAGATGTTGAAAGATGTTGAAACAGCCAAATCAACAGCTGACCCATCTCCTCCTTTCTGTGCAAGCCGGACCTTGCCATTTCATGCGACAGGCACGGTGGTAACTCCTGCAGGAATCGTTCAGTAGGCGGACACAGTTCAGCCATTGGGGCCCATGGGGCCCTCATGGGGCCCAGTCCATCAATGTCCAGAAAAAGGCTGATCTGTTGAACATAATAACATATATATATATATACATAATATTATATAGTTATATATTGAACATCTGTGTAACATGTGTCCATCTTTCCGGCCACAGCCTTAAGAATGTCAGAGGCAACTGTGACGATACCTCAGGATTCGTCGAAACTGGCGCTGTTTCATCGCTCACAGTTGCTGCACATCTGAGCCTTTCACCTCCCAAGTCCAGGTCGTTCTTGTGATCCGTGAAGAGAACTCCACAAAACTGGCAGGGCATGGATTGCACAACACCACAACACCAGCTGTGCATGTAAAGTGCCTGAGATTGCCTAAGTTTGGTATGAAGCATGTCTTGTTGGAAAACAAGAGTTTAACCATGTTTAACAGGTATGTGTCCTTTGCTTTCCCCTCTTCACTATATGATTATGAAATTTCATGAAATTTCCAACTAAAAGTACAAGTTGGCGTCCTGGCACCAAAACATCCCGCCTGAGCCAAGAATTCGATGGCTGCCTCGAAAACAGACACATCGCACATGGGTCGAAAATTTAGTGACGCCCCATTTTCATCCGGTGAAACTTCAATTTTCCCTAGGATTTAGTGATTTAGTGACATTGAATGGCCATTGAATGGCCATAGATAGGTTGCAGATCCCCGATTTTTGGAAGGAAAATCTGGCTGCATGCCCTGCCTGGCATTCGAAGGTGTCCGTGTGACCTCACTGGAATCGCCATCCCATATCTGAAAGAACTTTCATGCAGATGATATTCCTATAGTCATAAAATGTCATAAATTTCAAAAGTTTAAGTTCCCAGTTTCTTCATGAAATGTCCACTCTATTTATCCAACAACTTTGCTGTTGAAATGCTCCGTTTTCCCTTGATTTTGCATATTTTGCCAGCAAGGCCCACACCCAGAAATTCCAAGGCATCCTCCAGCGTCTCCCCGGCGAAGCTGGGAAGATGACCGGGCATAGCGCCATCCTCAAGGTGCAACATGGTGAAACCCTCTGGATCGATGGAGAAATGAAAATCCACCGGATTTTACATAGGAAAACCCATGGAAAAACATGGAAAAAACATGGAAAAACCCATGGAAAAACCTGTAGATTTTCCCTTCAACCCACCCATTGAGATGGCTGATCAACTGTCATCAGCTGTCTCTGAGCTGTGAACTTTCGTCATGGGCCTGAAAAGATAAACAAGTTGTTTGACCACGGGAGTTTTGCGGAACAACTCCCAGCTATGACGCACCGGAATTTCCATCTTTCAGACTCAGACACGCGGAAATAAGGTCCAAGTAGTTTTTTGCATTTCAAGATCACTTCTCAAAAAGTATCATTCAGCTTTCTAAATCCAAAATCTACACTCTCTATCTATATATTTAATAATTATCAAGTAGTTAAAAATCATTAAAAATCTATAGATATATTTCTCCCAGCATATCCCAGCATCCAATGAATCACCAAAAGAGCGATCTCTGGGAGACCCCAACCCTTTGGACTCGAAGATGGCGGCGAGACTTCGACGACTCAGCTCGCTCTCCGAGGTAAACATCAGCGACAAATGGAAGGAGAAGCCCACGGAGAGCTGGTTCGCCTCGGCTGATGGATCCACAGAACTGACAAAAAAAGGTCAAGGGAGAGGACGACAATGATGACGACGAACGTGGCGAAAGAATGTGCAAACGTTCAAAGATGTTCAAAGGGATCAAGGGTTCAAAGGTGACTTTATGTCCTGCCTAATGCATATTGCACTTTTACTTGTCAGCATTTTCCATTTTTCCCCATGAGTACGCCTGTCTCTGGCATCCGCTGTCTGTACTGCGCGTTGAAGCTACAGCGGTGAAATGGGACTTCCCTGGCCCTCACGTCTTGCGTCTTGTTGTCGCTGAAGCTGTCACGTCTGGTAGATGACAACCCGAAGGTAGGGGCTTTGGGTTGAGAAACTCTCCGGCCTTCGTTTTGCAACTCTCCGGCCTCATGAAGGTCATGAAGGTAGGCTTAGTGCAAAGGCAGTTGCACCTGCAAACAGTGTCAGGTGGTTCTTCAACGCGTTTGCAAAGGCAAATACGACCCGCAGGACGTCCTGCAAGGCGGCATGAGTGGGTTCAAACATGAGCTATCCTACACCATGACGTGACGCAAATGAGTCACTCCATTTCAATCCGAGTCAAGTCTGTCCTCAAAGATACCTCCTGCGAAGCCTCCGAAGCCAGCGTGCCTTCCGATCGCTTCTGCCTTGATTGTATTTGCAATCGCCATACCTACACTTGCAACGAATGAAGAATAAAGCCATAGCCACCACTGCCGCTTTCATCGGCTCGGACAATGGCATTGCAGCATTGCATCTGGCATTGCGCTGTCCGCTCGGGAATGGGTGCTTGATGGTGCTTGAGCCTCTTTGCTTTCATGATGTCTATCCTGGAGAACAAAGCCTCATCAAATCGGAAATTGATGGCAATTGCAATACCTACATCCAACCAAAGCTCCAAGAGCAACAACAAATCATCCCCTCACTCAAACCAAATGATGGAGTGAAAGTTAGCAAGAAATAATCCCCAGAACCCGGGAAAAAACGACAAAGGCAACGAGGAAACATTGAACACCAACATAAAATCATAACAAGCAACATGTAACCTCAGGATGCTATGATTTTATGTGGGGATGATTGTTTACTAGCATTTTATATCCTAAAGCATCTTTTAACCAAGGAAACATCCAATCGCATCCCCCGCCTTTTACCATTTTTGGGGGGATATAAGATGCAATTGGATCCAAGAATTGGATGAGACTTGGGGCGAGAGATATTCACCAGCAAATCTGGAGACCGTGCCCCACATTTGGATCTAAAAAACGCCCAACATGATGGGTCTTGTAGGCCCAATATTCAACATTGCGCCCGGCATTTGATACAAATTGGGCTGCAACTGATAATGCAACTGAGCTGACAAAAAAGGTTGGGGTATGTTGGGGTCTTGGGATATCGATGGATATCAACAAATCATACATCCACAAGCTCGTGCAGAGCTCGTTTTGCACATGGCAAAAAAAAGGCACCCGAGATGGAGATGGTTCCCTGAGATTCCCACTTCAACCTGACAGAAGAGACTGAGAAGAGACTGACTCCAGGGCGGTTTGTAAAGGTCAACGACCGCTGATGCTACCGCTAATCATCTTTTTAAGTCTCGTGAACTTGCTGACATCTGAAAATTCGAAGAATCATTGGAATCATTGGGTTTCGCCTCAGTTTATGATGTTTTGATATATGTCTTGATATATGTTAACAGTTTGGATGTGGCAAAGTTGCCTTTCCGCACCACAGGAGGCGCCTCTTTCGCCTCCTTCGTCTCCCTCGTCTCCCTCGTCTCCCTGGGCGCGGCATCGCTGAAAAGGGATCGGTGTCTTTCTCAATTTTTTGGTCTGGCCGCCTGGCCTTTAAAAAAAAATAATCACCGATTCACAATATTCACATGAACATCGATTTCTTCATATTTCATCATCCATTTTCACTTTTTCTTCCATTTTCTTCCATGTCTTCCATTTCTTCCATTTCTTCCAAGATCACTGAGACCAGCGCCCCAGACGCGTCAGGAGATCTTCGAAACACATCAGGGCGTAGTGGAATGGCATCTCCTCGCCATATCCAGAGATGCAGCTTACATCAGCTGACTGTGAACTCTTCTGAACTGTCCTGTAGTTAGTGTTGATACCATCTGGTTATGACTAACATAGCCATGGAAAATCACCATTTTTTAGAGGTAAACCATCTATTTCTATGGGCCATTTTCCATGGCTATGTTAAATAACCAGATGGTATTTTTTGAGTCTTTTTTCCATAGTAAATGCACAGTTGCAGTTGTTGAATGGCCTCTCTTTGATGCAATTCTTCATATTCTTCTGCCAAAGATTGGGTGTTATCAGTGCTATGATGAACTTTAGGATTGCATCCAAAAATCCAAGAATGACGGACACTTTGGGACTCAGATGAAACTATTTGGGTTGGGCCTTGTTTTGAGCTATGGCATCCATGGGTGTCAGCTACAGCTATCATCCCCGCCTGGTTTCGAGATGGATGCGCTTGTAGAACAGCCTCCAATTGGTGACCGCACACACGTGTCACACAGTCATCAAGGTCGTCATCCCTAGGCCACAAGATCCACAGCTGCCTGAAATCGCGCCAACTGCACCAGAAGTCGTCGACCCTGCCAATTCTGGCTGTTTTGAGCTTCTGCCACAGTCTCCAGATTTCAAATGGACCGCCAGTTTTTCAGAGACCCTTCAGGTTCCATGTTGACATGTTGAGTTTTAGGTAGTTTTCTATCATGAGAATCTCATGATACTCCAGCCCTGTCCAGTTTTTCAATGATGCTGTTCCAAGCCGCCAAGCCGCGCCTCCTGATACTTCTCGCAGGTGTTCCAAATGGAAGTGTCTTTGACCTTCGTAACACCTGGAGTTGACGAATCCGATCCATGAAAATCGCCCTGGGTTTGCCAGAAATCCCACTATAATATGTATTGAATATGTGTTATAATCATCCATGTCCCCACTGTCTGATGATTATTTCATGGTCATCTTGGGGTATACCACATTTCAGAACCAACCCCATGGTCTACAACTCATTCAAATCAGACTCCCAAGATATCCCAAGTGAACAATATCCATTGCCCTGTCAAAAAGTACGGCCATGCCTTAGGTAAACCCAAAGAGCTTCGTCTATAGGAACCAGATCTGAGGCTAAGAGCCTTACATAAACCAAAGACGTAAAGAACCAACATAAAACAACGTAAACGCAACATAAAAGCAAACACAAGTGAATCATAAACACATCGGAAACTCATCATAAACAGAACGCAAGTGAATCCACAATAAAACATAAAACGACTCATCAACAAAACACAAATGAATCCACAAACCATTCTGGCAGTCATGTGTCCCAACTGTCGCGCACGTGTTTCCATCTTCTCTGGAGGTGAGCGGAGTTATGTGACACAATGTTTGCTCTGTGTTTCACTTGTGTTTGAAATACGTTTTGTTTGCGCAGCACTTGCGTCAGGCAAAAGTCTAAGATCTTATTCTGGGAAAATAAGATCTTAGGATTTTGACATACATAAAAAAATACAAGCGAAACACAAACAAAACATAAACAAAACACAAATGTAGCATAATTTGTTTATGTTTTTTTTGTGTTCTGTTTATGTTTTGGTTTATGTTTTGTTTGTGTTTTTTGTGTCAATTATTTGCGTAAGGCCTTATTTTTTTATGTTTTTTTGTGTTTTTTTGTGCAAACAAGCATAAAGAAACACAAAAAAACATAAAAAATAAGGCCATACGCAAATCATCGACAAAAAAACAAATCAAACATAAACAAAAAATAAACCAAAACAGAAACAAAACACAAAAAAACATAAACAAGTTTATGCTACATTTGTGTTTTGTTTATGTTTTGTTTGTGTTTCGCTTGTGTTTTTTTATGTATGTCAAAATCCTAAGATCTTATTTTCCCAGAATAAGATCTTAGACTTTTGCCTGACGCAAGTGCTGTGCAAACAAAACGTATGTCAGACATATGTGAAACATGTGGGAGACATCAGTTTCACATTGGCTGCAGGTTTGTACCAGGTTTGGATTTCAAATTGGCAACTGCTTGACACAGGGGGGACGGCCAACTCATGTTTCACATATGTTGCAAATTTCACACACATGTTTTGCTTTATGTGTCACTTATGTTTCAATTATATTCCATTTATGTTTCGTTTGCGTTCCACATATGTTTCGTTTATGTTTCACATATGTTTTTACTTACGCCTAGACATAGTTTATGTTTACGTCATGCCCCGTCCACCCTCTATAGAAACCATCCCTGGAGCCCATTTGGATCAAGCTAAGCCATGCCGTAAAGTTGTCTGAACATGGGGTAGTAGGGTACCCCAGAATCCCATGATCACCATTTTCCCGACAGACTCAAAGGGTTGATTCGTTTGGGGTGGGTTCCCCTTGAAAATCATTTTCAATCACCAAAATCAGTCCTAAAATTCAGGGTTTTCTGACCCCAAACTATAACAAACAGCAATACAAACAGTCAATTCTCATGATCCATCCATCATTCTCCATCCACCCAGCCCCTCCCAGCCCCATGGGGCTGGAGGATCCGGGGCACCATGGCATCGTTGTAGCAAGGCTTTGGCGCCCCGTGGCAACTCCCAGGCCAGCGCAACGCACTTCAGCCGCAGCGTGGCGCGGAGAACGTGCTGCAAAGCACGGAGGGAGGTGGAGAGGAACAGCCGAAAACCTGGCAGAAATGGGATATGGGGATGGGTCAAAACCCTATCCCCCTGTAGTTCACATCAAAATAGCTGGGATTTATGGATGTAGGTATTGATCCATAGCCATATGGGATCTGGATCTGGATCTGATCTGGATCTGGATCTGGATGGGTCAGTTCTAGACATGGAAAAATCTGGTGAAATATTGGTGAGTGATGAGTCAATGATGTTTGAAAGAATTGGCGAATTATCATTGATGATTGAACTCATTGAACTCATTGAACTCATTGGCGAAAAAAAAACGGGAAACAAATGCTTTTGTGAGGTAGCAAAACTCTGTCGGTCCTTCCCCAGATATGGATGGCTTATCATGTTTTTCCATGTAATTCGCCATAATTCGCCTACTTGACTGTTGTAAAAAGATGGAACATGACCGGCAAACATCGGTGAAAAAACGTGAATCTCAGATCACCTGGAAGGGCACTGCCCTTCTCGCGATCAAAGTATTCAGGTCCCTCCTCGGACGACGGGACGACGGGACGACCATGGCGACAGAACTTGGCTTCGCTGAGGACTCCGACATGGAATGACATGGAATGACATGGAACACAGCCAAGAACTTGTGACAACTTGTTGCGACTTGGTGCGACTTCTTCAATGTTTGGTGCGGAACTGGTACAAGGATGTACAAGGTGGAAAGAGATTGCAGCTGGCGACCGAACAAAATCAGATCGAAAAGATGGGATGCGGCCAAAGTTTCAAGGATGGATGTCAAAAAGCAGTCCAAAGGCAAGTGAATGTCAGATTCCAACTCGATGTTTTCCAAGAGCAGCCACCTGGTATCAGCAAACTGTTTCCGTATGCCGCTCGGTGCACTTCTTCAGCTGAAACAGAACGATGGCACTTTGAACCAGCATCATCATCATCATCATCATCATCATCACCATCACCATCACCATCACCATCATCATGATCATCATCACCATCACCATGGTAATATTCCACATGATATTCCCCATGTTCCCCATGTGCCAAGCCTGCCGCGCTTATAGGCATCTTTCACCATCTCCATAAGATGACCACTGTCTGTCTGCCAGCGTCCCACGTTCAGAACTCGTAGCTCCTGACCCAGTTGGAGCTGAGTAAAGTCGGGAAAGTCGGGAAAAGCCAGAAATCCCTGGGTGAATCACTCGATTCAAAATTGCTGAAGCCTGTGGGAACATAGCTGAAATCAGATGAAATCACGTGAAATCCGGTGAATTTTTTCGTACCCAGCCATCTTCGTTGAGGTCCAGCAACCCGAACCCGACGACGTCAAGGATCCCGATCCGCACCACGGACAGAAACTACACAATGTTTTTTTTTCACGGCGTATGGACAAGCCAAATCATCAGCAAATGATCAGCAAATGATCAGCAAATGATCAATCTCCAGATTTTTCCCAACTTGGTATAGCCTGGATTTTTTATAAGGGTGGATCCCGCGACACAGCTCCTGTTGTTTGGCCCCGATGTATTGCTCCAGGAGCTGTGCTGCTGCCAATCGCGCCAGGTATCTGGAGACCGTCGCAATCTCCCGCCAAAAATGTGGATTTTGAACTTAGGAAATCTTAGAAATGATGAGTTTCATATAGAGTTTTATGAACTTAGTAACATTGTTGTTTCAAAACATTGGGTAATTACCGGAAACCCTTAAAGTATCTTAAAGTCCCATGGTTTCTCAAATGCTCAAAACCATCAAAACCTCCACAATGACCATGGTTTTTGACCCCCTGCCTTGAGGGTTCAGCATCTGGTGTCAGCACCAGCAAAATGGGATACGGCCTCTGAGGTGCGATTTCATGGTGTAAACATCATGATTTCCACATGTTTTCCTCTTAAAATTTTGAACAAACCATTGGTTCCTTGCTGGCAAAAAAACGAGGTTGATTCTTGAGACCACCCAGCTAAAGAAACCCTCATTTGGGTGAGTAGTGACTCCAGACTTAAGTCCAACGCTTCCTTCAAGTCGGTCAGAGAAAAGGACTTCGTCCCAGAATTGATGGAACATTTGCTGCAAAAAACACAAAACTCAACAAGCAGTATTTACAACCAGTATTTCCTCAGGTTTCCTCAGGCAACCGGACACCGGAGCTTTCTTTCGCATTTCGCGTTTGCGACGTTGTCCAGAGAAATCCTAGGGACAAATGTGCACCCAGCTGGTCGTCCTCCAAAAACATACCCGCCTTTTCGAGGTAATCACATAAACAACCTCTTTGAGATCCTCTTTGCGTATCGTTTATAAAGTTTAATCCCTGAAAAATCTTCAAAACAGGAATTCTAAGCAGCCCTGTATACATATCTCTCTCGTGTCGATGTCAACCTGTCGTCGTCAACCAGGTTGTATCGGTGGCTCAACTGATATGCCGACCCGAGCATCGAATTCCGAAGTCGAGCCCATCATCGTTGACCCACCACAGTCCGATTCCACCACCGAAACCTGGGTGGCCAAACTGGGTGGCCAAACTGGGTGGCCAGGGCCAGGTTTCACCAGGTTTCACCAATTTGGCCAATGTCATCGGGATGTGGAAGTTTAAAAAAACCATTTAAGGTCATTCGCCCATTCGGAGATCAATTTGAAAAAACCTGGGACGGAGATCAGGATTTTTCACCAAATTTGGGAAGGCTTGTTGTTATGCATCGACCATCATGGATAGTCACTAAATACCAACATTTAGATCTGATTCACACAATAAGTAGGGGCAATCAGCTTTTACCAGTGAAATCATCGAATTCGATCATGATGTTCATTTAAGATCATCAAATTTATAACATGAATTTAGATTCATGGATTATAATGGATTATAATGGATTATAATGGATTATAATTCGCACATTTAAGGCTTATATTAACACATATTAACCATTTCCAAGCCATCTCCGACTTGAAAAACCAGTTGCCCTGCCCTGCGCCGCCTGCGCCGCCTGCCCTGCGCCAAGATTCTCCCGACCCCGAGCGCGACAAAGTGCCAGGGGCGTCCTTGCTCGCTGGTTTGGTGGGACCAATATTTTCAATACCACCAGTTAACAAAAATACATCTATATAATACATAATATATATATATGCGTATTATAGATATATATATATATACACACACATATATATATTGACATATTTATATATATATATATACGTATATACGTGTATATATATATTATATATATGTGTAGGACACATATCTAGTTTGTGTAGCTTTTTATCTCAACACCTTTTACGTTCGACGCAAAAGGACGGTGCATCGCTCCACGCATCGCCTGGTGAGATTTCTTCCGCTCCAAGCGAGAAACCTCAGCCGATGTCGACATCTGCAGTCATAGCTGGGCTTGGCGAAGTATAGCTAAGTGGTTGATAAATGTTGATGAAAGTATTGATGGAAAATATTGATGAAAATATTGATGAGTGTTGATCATATTCAATGGTACCTCAATCTAAATGGGCTTGTTCCGAGCTAACATCTTGGTTATATAACCCCACTGCCCATCATAAGTACCATTTCATCAGTTGAGCTGAGGGACGGATCTGGCCAAATCGCCCTTGGTTTTCGCACGACCAAGGAACAATCAGAATCCACAACATCCACAACTGCCAACTTGTTTCGACAGTTCTGCCAAGACTCCTGGGATTTTTTCCGAGCGCTGCGAGTGCTGCGGGTGGATTCCTCATTCATCGTGGAGTGCAGCATATTGCCATACTTAGTACATCTTAGTCTCGCACAATGATCAAAGGAAAAAATTGAAGCTGAAACATCTGAAACATCGGCAGTTTCTTGCAGTTTCTGTCACTTCTCAATTTGTCATTTCCCAATGGAATGTGCAAGCAAGCTGCAACGCTGACCTAAGTTCTCCAAAGCAGCTGGGATTGAGTGGAAAACATTGAGGCATCCCAAAAAAATCGACATCACTTGGTATATTTGTGTAATATCAGTTGATTACTGTTGACGGTTATCACATGCCGTATCAATTGCCATACCTTGGGCTAGATTGGTAGTTTTTCAGACATACCCATAAAGTTCTAACATCGTTCCAATATCCCATGTATATTGGTAATATGCAACATGTATAATCTCAGTTCTTGGCCACATACATTGGGCAATTTTTGGACACGCCATATTGTTGGTCAATTATATCCGATCATATCAATTACATCCCCCAGAACATGTTTGGTTAAACACACACGTTATTTCTATCATTGTGATCATAACTTAACCATTGCAAAGTTTCAATTTATTGGATAAATGATAAATGGCAAAAGAAAAACACCACCATTGACCGGCAATTTTTCACAACACACACCAAACGAAATAAGTTGAATAGTGTGATTATAATGTGATGTGACAAGCTAACCAATCTTAACCATGTAAACCCAATTAACCCTACTTTTTCGCACGGCAAAACTGGCATCAAAAAAACGACCAGGCACATTGGACTGCTTGCGGATGAAGTCCTTTCGCGAGCCCTTGGATATGGTGGCCATGGTGGAATCCGGTAGAAGCTTCGAGATGATGAAAATCATACAGAATCAATGGTGGATAGTGATGGTGGATATCCACCAATAATACATTTAATACACCACTATCCATAATTGGATCATGATGATATATTAACCGCTTCAAAATATCACAATCAATGGTGGAGAATGATCACCTTAAGTGTATCAAATTGCTGTATGTCACTGTATGTCACTGGTTTAGTCATCCATTGCTTTCAAATGAAATGCCTAAAAATCACAACCTCGTATCTTTTTCGATCAGAAAATCCATAGATATGATGATCCTCATATCCAATCCATAGATTGATGCGAAGCTTCCCTGGGCTTTTTACGAACGTAGATCCGTGGGTGGAAAACCCATGGTTTCATCGGAAAATCATCAAATGATCCAAAGAACAGATTCGGTGCTTTTCCCACATCTATTTCAGATTACCCATCTGATTAGGATCATTTGATGTGAAAATATATGATGGATTTGGGATAGCCATGTGATTATTATGATTCATATATATTCATATGATCATGAAACATTTCCCACATCACCCATTTGTGGGTACCATATGGGTACCATATGATCATTCCGAGGGAATCCGAGGGACCGTTCTGTCTGGCGCCGCCGATTTGCGTCGCATGGACTCCTGGCCCAGCGGATGGATGTGTTGGATGGATCTGTTGGCCGAAATTTGGGATGGATGTGTTGGATTATGAATATACGGATATTTAAGGATGGATGTGTTGAATTAAACTATGTATGTATACAATGTAATGTAATGTAATGTAATGTATCCAAAATATATCAACGTGAAAAATACATAAAAATGCTCCATAGCGGGTGACAGCTAATCATCAGTTGCGGCGGACTTTTCCACTGCCAAGGCACCGATTTGCCAGTTCCATCCTGAGAAAATCCGAGATAAAGGCTGCAGTTTGAAGCCTTGAAGCCCTGGTTCAACAGGTGGATTATCCAAAAGATCAGACGGATCATTAAAAACCCATCATTTTCCATGGATCGTTTCATTATCCATGGATCGAAAAATAGTTAACCATAGTTCAACCGGTGGATTATCCATGGATTTTCATGGATTGAAAGCTATCAAGCGATCTCATCCGATCTCTCCATGAAAATCTGCTGCTGAGGGTCATCACTCCCAGTCACCTTGGTGCAGTCGTCGGTAGAATGGGCCATCGAAGATGGCCATGTTACCATCATGTGACCATCCAAACAACCATCACAAAACCATCCAAAAAACCATCAGGATGGGGCCCCCAAGACCGCTAATTACGTTGGTTTATAAGTGGCTGAATTCAATGCTTTATGGTAGATATAACTATAGTTCATGGGGGTTTAATGGGGGTTTAATGGGGGTTTAATGGTTTAATCCAAACAACCATCCAAAAAACCCATCCAATCAACCGCGATCCAAAAAAAGGCCTGGGGTCATCATCTGGAGCCTGCGGACCCACGGTTTGCGATAACCAAAACTGGACGAGGATCATGATAAATGGTATCCTTAATATAAGTGATTAGGATAAATGGTTGATATTATAGTGATAGAAAATCCTTAAATGGTATGATTAATGATAGGATAACTTATTATAAATAATATAGTGCCTTGATGTATCTTGATAAGTCTTAATATCGTTGATCAATGGTTGATAATCTCATGATTTAATGATGAAAAGAAATTGTCATAGTCATATGTTATAAACAAAATATCTCGATTTTAAGATCTAATATGTCAACATCGATTTCAATCATTTTGATAAATACCCCAGATCTTCTCTGTCAGTCTCTTGCTCCGCATTCCACCATCAGGTTCCATCAGGTTTTCGTCCAAGCAACCAGCACCACGGACTTCTTGCGGCCCTGCTCCTTGGACAAAACCCACGCATCCGGTTGGCATTCCGTGGTCATCCGGTGTAAAAACCCAGGCATCCAAGGAACAGCTTTCTTCTCTTCGGCCTGAACAAAACATTGCTGGTGCAAAACGACAAATTCTACCGTAGAATCCCATAAGTATCATAAGTCTGGGATTCAATCTCATTATGACTTTCGTGAGTGGGTCAAATTCGTCCAAAACATGGTCATGTCAATTTAGTCCATCATTTTCGCTAACACGTCGTGTTTCGTGGCAGCGCCTGCTGCTTGTCCTCTTTCTGAACCACGGAGACCTCCAGGGCCTGCTGCATGACCTCCTCAAAGTTGGGAACCTGCTGCACCGCTGGCTAAAAGGTTTAACAAATGTGGTGAAGCGTTAAATCTGTATTTCAATGATGTTCAATGATTTTCAAATGTGGTGAAGGAGTGAAAAACTGAAATCAGTGAACTCGACGTGTCGGTTTCGCCGGCTTCGCCAATTTCGCCGGTTTTCGCCTCTGGCTGGTCGCCATCCAGCACTTCCAAGGCATATCTCTTCAGTTCCACTTGGAAGACGAGGAAGGGCTGTACGGCACGTGCCAACAGCAAACGATCGAAAGCTCCCAAAGGCCTTGGAAAAAACATGATGCAAACTTCCCATTGAAAACTGGAAGATCATCCTAGATCATCCTTCAACATCCTGCTGAAAGTGTCTATGTCAGTGTCTTAAAGTTCCATGTCACTTAAAGACCAGGCAGATGTGTTTTTTTTCAGATCTCCTCTCCAGATGTGAAAAAAACTCCTTGGCGCGACGAGCAACGCCTCACCGTATGGCAAGGGATCGCCACAGCAGAGGGCCTTGGTTTCCACATCTTTCCATCATCCACGGTTCATAAAGTTGATGTTTCCATGGATGTTCATAGATTTTCTGGGATCAAAATCATCCATAATCATCCATAATCATCCATGATGTCAATGATTTCCGGTTTCGGAGTGCACACTTGGACTTGGACCCTCCGGTACAAATGTTACAACAGGTGGGAAGCCACCCATTTTCAACAGGAAAAGACTCCGGGAACGACTCCGGGAAAGAATGAAAGACATCTCTGATGTGGACCAGCGACTGTGTGCCAGGCATCTGCGTTCGCCAGAATGCTCTCTGGAAGCTTTCCGAAGATCTGTGGTTTCAAGGCACTTAGGCTTCGCACCTTCTGCCAAACCTTCCAGACTTGTGAAACCCCCAAAAATGCTGGGAATTTGATGCAAATCATGGCTGGAGATAGAAAGATGAAAATTTTAACTTTGTTGATCAAGACTGTGAGATACACGTGGAGATGTGCAAATATCTTGGATTTGATGAATATACCCTCTGGTAAACTAACATAGCTATGGAAAATCACTATTTTCAATGGGTAAATCCACTATAATGGCCATTTTCAATAGCTATGTTAGTTTACCAATGGGTAGTGTTCAGTTCAAATCCTCCCATGACTTGGTTTCAACTGACATCTTCGAGGTACCGCATCACAGGGTTCATTTTCTCGATGTGGTTGTAACTAAATAGGGGGTTCGGGTACCCATCCAACACACAGCTTGAACAGGCGCATGCCCGACTTCATTACCACGGCATTCGCAGCCCCTTTTCTATACTTTACCATGGCACTTTCATGTGCCCACTGCCTGGAGCCTCAGAACTTTTAGACCGGAGACATCCCAACTTTCGAGATTTTCGGTCTAAAGCAGTGCTGTGACAGGAAAAACCATCGGCTAGTCTCTGCAAAACACCCATGAATTTCAGAGCTGCAAAGCTTGAAGGGTCAATACTTTGGCGTTCTTTGTGACTCTGTGACATGTTGCACATATTTCACCATCTTGCATGTCCAAGAAACGGTTCCAATTGAAGGCTCAAAAGCGTTTCAGGCATGAGAAGAAATTCAGGAAGATTTACAGCTGGAGTTTTCAGAGCAAGAGCTCTACAGCATCTGACATTTCATCATTGTATACGATCAGACACACATGCGCGCGCGCACACACACACAGGCTGCCAGGCTGCTCTCGACTTTCTTTTCCAGATTGCTTTCAGGTTGCTTGCCATGCGTTTCCAAGTGTTTTCAGATTCCTTGCATGGGAGATGTGCATTCAAAGCGGCCGCTTTGAATTGGCTTACTCTTTCTGCATGCTGACTAGAACACGTGTTTCAAAGTTCCCTTCAGATTGCTGGCACGCTGCTCATTTCAGATTCCTTCAGATTCCTGCGCATAATGTTGTTAGATTTGTTACATTGGAGCTCGGCTTTCAAAGCGTCCGCTTTGAATTCGTGTCCTGTGAAGACTGAGCCATTTCTAGAGGAAATTGAATACGGGTCAAAATATCCTTCAGACTTGTTCCAGGCTCCTTTCAACAGCGTTTCACATTGGTTTTTGGGCATTTTTAGAATCCGGCTTTCCTTTCAAGACGAAGGCATGTGATACAGGAACTCTCGCATGCGTGTGGAATGCTACTTTCTCCCCAAAGCATGCCCGCACTAAGGCTGTCTCGTAGTAACTGTACAGGCCGGGTTTTAATCAGGGTGCTCGCTCTGATCTTCGGCCTTTGTTCGCGCAGGCTCGCGCAAAAGTTTCCTTGTGAGATGTCCATGTCCATTTCGACTGCGCATGCTCGCAGTCGCACAAAACAGGTTTCTCGCTTTGCCCACTTTCCAAGGTCTACTTTTATCAGCGCGCGGTGCTCGTTTTTTGAGCTATGTCAATTTTTCATGGCGCACGTGGGGCATCCAGGACACTTTTGAAGTCTGAAACGTTGTTTTGCGTGGCAGGTGCAAGCCATCGGACACTTCTTCATTCGCATGGCAGGCATGGGATTTTCTGCAAGGACCTAAAGCGTTGGCAGATGTGGGTTGACATGAGAGGTGGTTGCGGATGCCATCTGTCATCACAATATTTCTTACAAGTGGACTTCAAGTTTTGAAAGGTCTCGTTTTGTGAAACTGCTGTGATCTTGGATTTGGGACATGACGGTTTCGCGTGGCTTGTGTGGTACTTCGCATTTCTCTTGCTCATTTTTCATGCCTTTTTCGCTAGACTTTGCTTACTTTACCAATTTCAAGTATTTTAAAACCTTGGTCAAACATCGCTGCTTTTCGATCCCCAATTTTGGTGGTGCGCACAGTCTTTGTGGTGAAAGTCCAACGTGTGCTCGTGCAACCATCTCGGCCCTCGGCATTTTGCGTCTATCAAAAATTGCTTCATTGTGGCGTGGTGGCAAAATTTCACTCACGCAACCCTCTCGGCACTTTGTGCGTGTCAGATCGCTCTCGTTTTAGCCTAGTACGAATTTTGACATCGCTCTTGCAACCATCTCCGCACTTTCTGGGTGTCAGATCGCTCCCACGAGTGCACGGTGCGAATTTTGTGCTTGCTCACGCAACCATCTCACCACTTTCTCCATGCCAGATCCAGTCAGATCGCTCTCCTTGGCACGCGTGGTGCTCACTTTGTGACATGATCTCGTAGAGAGCGCGGTGACTTTCTGGAGGAGGTTTCTGCGTGATCTTGTGCGGATTCTACTGAGAAAATCTCTTAGAGATCCTACTGAAATCCTTGACGAGATCCTCGCATGATCTTGTACAGGTCCTTGTGAGAAGACTTTTGAGAGATCCTGATCCTGTGGAAATCTTCTAAGACGTTCCTGTATGATCTTGTACTTACATGTCCTTATGAGAAGATCTTTGTAGATACTGGTGAAATCTTCTGACACCGCAATACACCGCATGACCTTGGACAGGTTCCGTGCTAAGATCTTGTAGACATCCGGGAGAAACCATTCAGAGGTCCTTGCATGATGTTGTACAGCTCCTTGTCGTAAAGACAATGGTGAACCCGGTGAACCCCAGACCACCTTGCATGATCCGGTACAGGTTTTTTCGGGGGTCCAAGTGAATTTTGTCACAGGTCTCTGCATGCATTTCGAAGATGCTCTGTGTGCCAGGTGCTTGCATGAGAGTTCTTGTGGGATGCTCTTAGGAAGTTCTTGCGTGAAGATCTTGTTAGATCCTCTAGACTTGAAATCGCGTGGCATTTTTCTAGATTTCCTGATGTGAGGGCCTCCTGTGAGGCCCCGGTCAGTAGACATATTGTGGCTCCTTGTGACAAAAGCACGTCCCTGCTGCTGCAGTTCCGAGGCTGCGTAACCTAATCTGCTACTGTTTCCGTAGCTGCTGAAGCCTGTAGCTTCCATATAGATTTCCTATCTGCCGCACTATTTGGGGTCTCTTGACGGTGTAATAAAATCATTTCAATTCCATTTGAAACGTTCTTTCTGAGTGCTGCCAGGCTGCTCTCGGCTCCTCCTTCCAGACTGCTTTCAAGTTTTTTGACTCATCGTGCTGTAGATGGGGACCGGACATTCAATTTTAAAGCCGTGTCAGACCCGTTTCAAACCCTTTGTCGGACAGCCCGTGTGCTGCTGTCAGATTCCCCTCTGTCACAATCTTTTCAGGTTCTGATTCCTTGTGACAAGGTGCTTTCAGATTCCTTACATGAGATTCCGTACATGGGAGTTGGGCATTCAAAGCGCCCGCTTTCAACCCAATATCTTTTCGAAAATGGGAGTTGGGCATTCAAAGCGCCCGCTTTGAACCCTGTATTTTTCGAAAATGGGAGTTGGCATTCAAAGCGCTTGCTTTGAACCCAGTATCTTTTTGAAAGTGGCAGCTGGTAACCATATGCAAATGCTGGTGGGCCAGCTTTGAAGCGGCTTCAACTTTTTTCACGTTTGCCAATCTTCTTTCAAAATGGTTCTCGCTGCTCCAGGTTCCTGTCTGGGCATTTTTTTTGGCAAATTCCTTCTGCAGGCATTCAAAGCGCCAGCGCTGAACGAACATATTGACAAACCAGCAGCTCAGACACGGAACACACTCCTTGAGCAACGTCAAGGCGCACAGCGATCAAGGGGCTCAAAACGTAATATTTACTTCGAGGGCTCAAACAGCCCCTTGATCGCTGCGCGCCTTGATGTTGCTCAAGGAGGACAAATCTAAAAGACGTTTTGAGCCCCTTGATCGCTGTGCGCCTTGACATCGCTCAAGGGGGACGAATCTAAAAGTTTCATCACCTTTAGCACCCCTAAAGTGCCCCTTAGCCTTGCAGCCATCTCAGGCGATTAAGGGGAACGAACCTGTGCCTTTTGATTTTGCTATTGAAAAAATGTCACCTTTTCGCGGTCCTGGCTGCACATGCGGTTAAAGGGGACGAATCTAAAAGTTTCATCACCTTTAACCGACTGTTAGAGTTATAGCGGCCAAGGGGATTGACTGGTCAACGGTTCCTTCGAAAATGATGGTATAGAGGCCTTCTTTCTTTCATTGGCAACTGTCACGTGATTCCAGGTGTGTGTTCCGAGTCTGAGCTGCTGGTTTGTCAGTATGTTCGTTCAGCCCCGGCGCTTTGAATGCCTGCAGAAGGAATTTGCAAAAAATAATGCCCAGACAGGAACCTGGAGCAGCGAGAACCATTTTGAAAGAAGATTGGCAAACGTGAAAAAAGTTGAAGCCGCTTCAAAGCTGGCCCACCAGCATTTGCATATGGTTACCAGCTGCCACTTTCAAAAAGATACCGGGTTCAAAGCAAGCGCTTTGAATGCCAACTCCCATTTTCAAAAAATACAGGGTTCAAAGCGGGCGCTTTGAATGCCCAACTCCCATTTTCGAAAAGATATTGGGTTGAAAGCGGGCGCTTTGAATGCCCAACTCCCATGTACGGAATCTCATGTAAGGAATCTGAAAGCACCTTGTCACAAGGAATCAGAACCTGAAAAGATTGTGACAGAGGGGAATCTGACAGCAGCACACGGGCTGTCCGACAAAGGGTTTGAAACGGGTCTGACACGGCTTTAAAATTGAATGTCCGGTCCCCATCTACAGCACGATGAGTCAAAAAACTTGAAAGCAGTCTGGAAGGAGGAGCCGAGAGCAGCCTGGGAGCACTCAGAAAGAACGTTTCAAATGGAATTGAAATGATTTTATTACACCGTCAAGAGACCCCAAATAGTGCGGCAGATAGGAAATCTATATGGAAGCTACAGGCTTCAGCAGCTACGGAAACAGTAGCAGATTAGGTTACGCAGCCTCGGAACTGCAGCAGCAGGGATGTGCTTTTGTCACAAGGAGCCACAATATGTCTACTGACCGGGGCCTCACAGGAGGCCCTCAGATCAGGAAATCTAGAAAAATGCCACGCGATTTCAAGTCTAGAGGATCTAACAAGATCTTCACGCAAGAACTTCCTAAGAGCATCCCACAAGAACTCTCATGCAAGCACCTGGCACACAGAGCATCTTCGAAATGCATGCAGAGACCTGTGACAAAATTCACTTGGACCCCCAAAAAAACTTGTACCGGATCATGCAAGGTGGTCTGGGGTTCACCGGGTTCACCATTGTCTCACGACAAGGAGCTGTACAACATCATGCAAGGACCTCTGAATAGTTTCTCCCGGATGTCTACAAGATCTTAGCACGGAACCTGTCCAAGGTCCTGCGGCGTCAGAAGATTTCACCAGTATCTACAAAGATCTTCTCATAAGGACATGTAAGTACAAGATCATACAGGAACGTCTTAGAAGATTTCCACAGGATCAGGATCTCTCAAAAGTCTTCTCACAAGGACCTGTACAAGATCATGCGAGGATCTCGTCAAGGATTTCAGTAGGATCTCTAAGAGATTTTCTCAGTAGAATCCGCACAAGATCACGCAGAAACCTCCTCCAGAAAGTCACCGCGCTCTCTACGAGATCATGTCACAAAGTGAGCACCACGCGTGCCAAGGAGAGCGATCTGACTGGATCTGGCATGGAGGCAGTGGTGAGATGGTTGCATGAGCAAACACAAAATTCGCACCGTGCACTCGTGGGAGCGATCTGACACCCAGAAAGTGCGGAGATGGTTGCAAGAGCGATGTCAAAATTCGTACTAGGCTAAAACGAGAGCGATCTGACACGCACAAAGTGCCGAGAGGGTTGCGTGAGTGAAATTTTGCCACCACGCCACAATGAAGCGATTTTTGATAGACGCAAAATGCCGAGGGCCGAGATGGTTGCACGAGCACACGTTGGAGTTTCACCACAAAGACTGTGCGCACCACCAAAAACTGGGGATCGAAAAGCAGCGATGTCTGACCAAGGTTGAAAAAACTTGAAATTAGTAAAGTAAACAAAGTCTAGCGGAAAAGGCATGAAAAATGAGCAAGAGAAATGCGAAGTACCACACAAGCCATGCGAAACCGTCACGTCCCAAATCCAAGATCACAGCAGTGTCACAAAACAAGGCCTGTCAAAACTTGAAGTCCAATTGTAAGAAATATTGTGATGACAGATGGCATCCGCAACCACCTCTCATGCCAACCCACATCTGCCAACGCTTTAGGTCCTTGCAGAAAATCCCATGCCTGCCATGCGAATGAAGAAGTGTCCGATTGCTTGCACCTGCCACGCAAAACAACGTTTCAGACCTCAAAAGTGTCCTGGATGCCCCACGTGTGCCATGAAAAATTGACATAGCTCAAAAAACGAGCACCGCGCGCTGATAAAAGTAGACCTTGGAAAGTGGGCAAAGCGAGAAACCTGTTTTGTGCGACTGCGAGCATGCGCAGTCGAAATGGACATGGACATCTCACAAGGAAACTTTTGCGCGAGCCTGCGCGAACAAAGGCCGAAGATCAGAGCGAGCACCCTGATTAAAACCCGGCCTGTACAGTTACTACGAGACAGCCTTAGTGCGGGCATGCTTTGGGGAGAAAGTAGCATTCCACACGCATGCGAGAGTTCCTGTATCACATGCATTCGTCTTGAAAGGAAAGCCGGATTCTAAAAATGCCCAGAAACCAATCTGAAACACTGTTGAAAGGAGCCTGGAACAAGTCTGAAGGATTTTTTGACCTGTATTCAATTTCCTCTAGAAATGGCTCAGTCTTCACAGGACACGAATTCAAAGCGGACGCTTTGAAAGCCGAGCTCCAATGTAACAAATCTAACAACATTATGCGCAGGAATCTGAAGGAATCTGAAATGAGCAGCGTGCCAGCAATCTGAAAGGAACTTTGAAACATGTGTTCTAGTCAGCATGCAGAAAGAGTAAGCCAATTCAAAGCGGCCGCTTTGAATGCACATCTCCCATGCAAGGAATCTGAAAACACTTGGAAACGCATGGCAAGCAACCTGAAAGCAATGTGGAAAAGCAAGTCGAGAGCAGCCTGGCAGCCTGTGTGTGTGTGCGCGCGCGCATGTGTGTCTGATCGTATACAATGATGAAATGTCAGATGCTGTAGGGCTCTTGCTCTGAAAACTCCAGCTGTAAATCTTCCTGAATTTCTTCTCATGCCTGAAACGCTTTTGAGCCTTCAATTGGAACCGTTTCTTGGACATGCAAGATGGTGAAATATGTGCAACATGTCACAGAGTCACAAAGAACGCCAAAGTATTGACCCTTCAAGCTTTGCAGCTCTGAAATTCATGGGTGTTTTGCAGAGACTAGCCGATGGTTTTTCCTGTCACAGCACTGCTTTAGACCGAAAATCTCGAAAGTTGGGATGTCTCCGGTCTAAAAGTTCTGAGGCTCCAGGCAGTGGGCACATGCAAGTGCCATGGTAAAGTATAGAAAAGGGGCTGCGAATGCCGTGGTAATGAAGTCGGGCATGCGCCTGTTCAAGGTGAAATGCCACAACTCCATCCGGACCCTGCATTTTTTTACTAACAGCTGGAAAAAATGGACCATGCCGCATCACCGAGGTACCGCGGCTGGCAATGTGTTGCTGGCATCGACGTCGGCTGACTCGAAGACCTCTGACCTGGACCGAAATGACTCATCCGCAGAGCATGGAATCACCCAATCCAGGCCTCAATGACTCGGGATTCAGCAGGAAATTCATCTCCAACGGCTCCTGCACATGTTGCAAACATGGTTTCACACATGTTTCAAAAAACAAGTCGATTTTAAACATAACTATTAAGATACTACAATAACATCATCATAAAGCCAACATCCATCAACATCCCATCAGATGTTCTGCTGGTTCCAGGGTTCCACATGGTTCCCACCTGCGGCTGGCTTTGGAAGGCCATCATCAGCAGCAGCAGCAGCAAGGGCTGCTGATGTCTGAAATAACTCCAGCTGAAGCGTTGCAAGACGCGGGAGACCACCAGCCACGGCGAATTGCTCAAGGACATTAACGCGGCCGCCACTTGCAGCGATGAATCCTGGACAAAGGGAGGCCTGGATGAATTCCATGGGAAATCACCAGGAAATCACCATGAAACACTCACGAAATCATCATGAAAATATATGAAAATCATCATCAATTGTGAAATCACCATGAAATCACCATAAAAAATCACCATGAAAATCATCAACTGCCATGTTTCACACGAGGCCATGGCCTTCCCAAAGCTTTGCATCAGCCCTTGGGATTTCAGCACCGTAGCGCAAGCTTCTGCAGAGGCGTGTTCCATTTGAAACAGGGACGGCGCGCTGCCAACACCTCAGGAACCAAAAAAGTCGAGTTCGCAGTTGACAAAAAGATGTGCAGCTTCAATGACTCACATTCCAATCAACTTTCATCATCATCATCATCATCATTAATAATAACCATTAATAACCATTATATAACCATTATATAACCATTAACATTAATAAACCACTACCATCATAATGTTTTTCGATGGAGTTTTACCTGACATTTCGATGTGGAGATGCCGCCCCAGGGCTCCGTGCCCAGCTGTGCCAAGCGATGCATGGAGCGGAAGAGCGTCGCACAGCTCCGGGCGGCGCGGAGGAAATTCCGACGTTTCTCCAGGAAGTTGCGACGCTGCAGCAGGGCCTCCGGAAAACGGACACCGGAAACTGCACCCAACTCACCCAACTCATGGGGAAATGATGTGAGATGATGTGATGAAATGATGGGATTGTGGTGTATATATAGATATACTTCTATAGACCTCTGAATGAGTGCAAAAATGATATGAGATTTCGAAGATGTCCTGGCATTTATCATCGTTTCTCATGTTCTCATTGACATGGAGTTATTTTTCAGTGGAGATGAAGTCAATTCTTAGTATAAACCCAGATAAATCAGGTCCAAACGGTGTGTCTCACCAATAAAGATTGGTTGTTTGACTATATTCCACTTCCCAACTGGGCCATATCCAATCATTGCTGCCGGAATGTACCGGAATTTGGGCACACTAGCACTACCCTGAAATCTCATAGTTTAAACACAAGTTGGTGGAAAATCACGTTTTGACACAGCCAATAGGGGCCATATGAGATAGAATTCCAAGCATATCAACCCCACTTGAAGTTTGAAGCATTAATCCCAAGGACTAACCCCAATCATTAACCATTCTTGGTCCACTGCTTCTTGATCAGAAACAGCTCCACCACAATTATCACGAATTCTCAACCCAATAAAGCAAAAAAAAAATCACCCCATTGACCAAACCAACATCCATTAACCAAACCAACACTCATCATATCATATAATTAATCCCATCCCCCTAATATGAGTCCACCCCCCATTTATGGTCCCTTTTTTAAGTTTTTAACCACCAGTCACCATGGTGGACCCTGGTGGTGAAACTCACCAGACCTCCTGGTTCATCTCCTGTAGTTCGCAGCAGCGACACCGCGAAGTGCTGATCTCGGACATCAAGTCGTTATCGCCCAGGATGCCGGTTTTGTGACTGGCGCCCTCTGCCAACCTGAGGGATGCGTCGAGGATGGGGAAAGATGGTGGAAAACCTGCGAGGTCGAGATGGCAAAAAATGGGGAGGAAGAAGAAGAAGAAGAGCAACAGAAAGAAGATAAAAAAAGTCATAGGCTGGACAAAGTGAGGTCAAAGATTTTTGTTGAGCGACAAAAGCTGGATCTTCTCTTCCAGCTGCAGAAATTCTCGTTGGTTGCTGGGGAAATCCTTCAAACTCGCCACCTGGCATGGTGCGGCATGGTGAGGCATGGTGACCAGAGTCGATCTGGGGCAGCGGCTTCACCTACTAGTAGTTTCGACCTGGATAGAGACACTCTCCAATCTCCATCCTGTATATGGGTAAATTATACTATTTCACATACCTGAATTAAGGCTATTTGGGGATGATTTCCCATTTTCCCACCATTTTCCCACCATTTTCTCATCCGGCCCGGCCCGGCCTGCAACTGGAGGGGTTCCTTAGACATGGCCCGCAGCAGAATCTGCTCCACTTCCACCACCTCGAAGTTCACCACGTCCAGCGGCGATAGCGCCAGCGATCGCCATGGCAGATCTGGAGTCACCACGAAGATTTTGCCTTTGCCTGACCAAAATGAAGATTCAGATGATGAAAAATCAGCAAGAATCATCAATTTTCATCAAAAAACATCAAAAATCATCAAAAATCATCAAATTTCATGAGCTATGGATGGGATGGGATGAGATGACAAATACTTCTGTATATGTGGATTTTTTTGTGGATTAATGAATGGATGGATAGACATTGATGGAAAATTGATGGAAAATTGATGGAAAATTGATGGATATAGGTGATCTATCGTATTTGCTATGGATGGTATATATTGTGGATGTTGGGTGACAACCACCAAGCAGAATCGTGGGCCGTGACGACCTGCCTTTCTTGCTCTTTGAATCTTTCTCCTGCAAAGTTCCAGTCACAAAAAAAACAGTGCGAACAACATCTGGGTATGGATCAATACCTATTAATACCATTTTTAGTGGGATGAACATCCATTTACCAGCTATTTTGATGTTCACCAGGGGTACAAGGTTTTTCCCACTGCCATCTGAATCAAAGAGACAGGTCTTCCAGTCTTCCATGTGGGACATGTCGACCAATGAGAACAGCACAAATCCACAGCATTCCGCGGTTCCGCGGCAGCGCTCCTCTTCTCCCAGACTGGCAGATGATTTCGCGGGTGAGCCCTGGCTCACAGTCCACAGACACCGTCCCATCCGGTGGTTTACTGTGACGGATCAAGTCACATGTCAAAACCTATGTTCAAAAAAAATATGAATATGACTGGCTGAACACCCATGACCAGACATCTCTATTTTCATGATCTGAATCGGTGTGAACCTCTGAACCACTCAGGTCTCACCCCGCTTACCCCGATCTCGGATCTTCACCAACTGGTTGCTCCACCTTCGGCTCTTTTTGCTCCACCTCTGGTTGGTAAAACTCCACCACACAGGCTGGCAGCTGGTCTGTAACCCCCAGCAGCAATAGGCTACGGCCTGGCTTCGAAAGGAACAACTTGGAATCCACAAAATTGAGGTCGTTGATGAAATCATCCAATTCCTCAATCTCTGTTCATATTGTTCATTGGCTTATATATATATATATATGTGAGTTGACTATGATGTAATATGATAATGATGTGTATAAACTCAAGTCATTATCCAACATTATCCAACACTAATGACTTTATCCAATGTCATCTGATTTCAAATCATGACTTGATCCTACTCCTTTGGATCCAAACTTGTCTTCGTGCCTTCTTGGCAATGCTGAAGGGCCTGTGGCAACTTGGGGCTGCCCACGTGTGTGACAAAGTCCACTCTCTTCCGCAGCCAGGATAGAGCCTGCGACGACGCCTTTTCGACATCGTGGGGATGATGATACATCTGATATATGGATTGATTTTGTGGGTTGATATATGGATTATTGAATATTATAATGATATATAATGATTAATGATCAGAGATTCTGATGCAAATCGAAAAACTGATGGAAAGAACTTTGAAAGAACCATCTTCAAGACAATCATGTCAAAGCATCATGTGATTTATGAACCTTTATGAACCTTTATGAAGCTGTTTGAAGCTGCAAAATGACGATCTGCCCTGCGGCCTGTTCTTGAGGATCCACACAGAGGGGTCGGAGAACATGCGAGGCGATGGCAGCAGATTCAGCCAAGACCCGTGGAAGACCCATGGATTGCCATTCATCCGTCACCAGCTGATCCAAGAGAAAAGTTGGGAGAAAATTCTCAAATTCATCGCCTTCGGATTCTGAAGAAGCTGCATCGCCTTCATCGCCTTCATCGCCTTCATCGCCCTCATGGTCCTCATGGTCGTCATGGTCGTCATGGTCGTCATCACTATCTTCTTGATCTTCCCAGGGTAATGCTTGAGTTGACAGAGTCAGAGTCAACTCATACCTGGAAAAAATCTGCGTGTGATTCTGTCAGATTCGCTGCAAAATGGACGAAAACTCAGCTGCGAACCGCAGAAATTTCCCTGAAAGAGAGGAAAACACTGGGAAAAAACTTGTTTCAGAAAAAAATGCTGGAAAAATACGGGAACTTCAAAGCACAAAATCACTGGAAACCCCAGAATACAGTATCAACCGTGATTCACATTGGTTAAGCATTGGCCCTAATAATTGATCATGAACGCTCCTTGATTGTTAGGACCATGATGAAGACCAGTATTAAGCCTGGATTATAATGTTTAATGTAATCATCAACCCTTGTGATGATCTTAACCCTTTTTAATCCCACTAGTACTTACAGTACCCCCGGTGTTTGGATATCTCTGAAACAGGGCAAATATCCTAATGAAACATCACCCAACTATTGGGGATAGTTCATCTTCAACAGATACAACTCTTCAAGTAATGTGAGTTGATGCGACTACGTGTTTTTAAAAAAGGCCATCACAGGACATTCATGTTGAAATATCTTGAAATATGTTGAAATCATGTACATTCGTTCATTGCTCCATTTCCCGATATTTCCCGTGAAAAATCCCTA